TAAAGACTATTTTGAGTCCGTGCGGCAGCGGGGATTACGTGGAATATCGCAGTCACGGGCCCAATAGCAAACACTCACGGGCCCAATAGCAATTCTCAGGTTCTGGGACGTACTTCGTGATCGCTCTGACGCCGGTCCTTGATCTGCACATAGACCGCATCGCCGTACAAGGGTACATTGGGGCACAGTGCTAAGCGAAGTGTTCAAGAGGTAGGTTTGCCTGGCAGCGCCATATTTCTCTCGATCACCAAGGATATTGAAAGGCGGAGCGTGTTCTTTCCAGGACATACGAGTGCTTGATTCACTTACGAGAGCCGCCACACGCATCCAGCGTGGATGTGGACCTTATCATGAAGTGAGGTTCAGCTAACCAGCTGCAAAGAGAAGCTTGCACCGCCAAAATCTCGGAGTGCTGATCGCCCCTTGGCCCAATGCACGGGGCATCGGTAGCACTGCCAGATGAGCCATAGCTCTGTCAGAGTATCCGAATACAGTACATAGTTTGTGACTGTGTGCTCGGATTGCGTGTTGTCCGGCTTGAACCATCCAGAAAGAATGCCTGGACCGCACCAGTTCTGGGATTGTCCTGCTGTCTGTGTTCCGGTCGAGATGTGAAGAATGGACGGCGTCAAGAACACCTTCTCACGTATTCAAGAAGAAGAGTCGAGACGAGCCACAGCAGAATGCAGATGACTGGACGTCAAAATGCTGCGCTTGACGTGAGGCCAGGATGAGCCACCTCCATCAGCTGTAGGGATGTTGATCTACGGTAGATTTAACTTTTAGCCTAATCTACAGTATATCTAAGCATATATACCAGGTATATACCAGCGTCAATCACGTTGCTAGGGGGGTTCTTACGTTATGTGCAGGCCGGCGACGATAGTAACTCTCGATAGAGAGGTTCTTTCGCTTGGAAATAACTTAAGAACTCTTTTTTAGAACTGTCGATATAGGAAAGTGTCGAAAACACGGAGCCTTCCTCTACTTGCTCGGTGTTGCTCTCGCGTCAATTACGTGGATTTGCTATATATACAAGGCCGGCGATCTGGATTGGCTGTACGTACGTTTATATTTACGTACAGTATATCTAATTCTTGTAGACAACATCCCTAATCAGCTGCCGTCTTCTCACAGGCTTGTCAGGTCAGGCTTGCTTCGGAAGAAAGCTCCGCCGATTCCGAACTTCAACAATGTTCGATGTCCTTTCCACTTCCATCTCCGAGTTATATACCTAGGAGTCGCGCACCATCATACCTTCTACCTCACTACCACCTTGGCGCCTTCCTTATCCACCCAACCACAGGCATCCCGTCCGTTTGGTGAAGTCAGTCATCATCAGAAGCGCAATCAAAATTTGATACTGACTGAGCATCACGTGCGAAAAGCCACGTCGGGGTCGGGGTCGGGCTGAGAAGGAGTGGCGACAGCGATCCAGACTCGCGTGGAAGTGACATGCGACCCTCGGAAGCCAACCCTAGGATTCAGAAAGGCCATACATACTTCCTCGTCTGCGGCACTGCGCGCGCAACCTCATCAAACTTCGATTCTTCCAAGCCACGGACGGCGCATCGATCAAGCCATCATGCGCCGCCTCTGAAATTCGCTTGAAATACCCGAATCTAGATCAATGGGCTTGAAGTATAACGTCGATGCATGACTAGCGGCACAGCGTGTTGATGCTACTGGAGGCCTGCGAGGGCAGGCAAATGGAGGATCAAAGGTCCAGAGCTAAATGCTTTTGTTACAAAGGGGTCCCGTCCTATCATACAAGTCCTGTCCTCCTCCACCTCTCGTGCACTGCGTCAGGAGAAGAGCTTATTATGGCGCGCATCTTAACATTCCTGCTTGCGATAACATTCGCCTTGGCGGTCCTGGCTAGCTCCAGCCCTTCCTGCTCCAATGGTATGATACTCTCCAAGTCCGTCCATTCGTAGTTTAAACGAACAACATCGCAGGCCATTACACACCTCTCCTCGCGCTGATCGGGAATGATGCCAAGACTCGGACATTCTGTGCTTCTCTTCCACCAAGAAGCAGGTTCAAGCAAAATCAGTGTCCCTCGGCCCTGCGACGCCTGGCATATCAAGAGATAAAAGAGTTCTGTGCATGCTTCCACGCCACGTGTAAGGCGCCACGCTGCCGAGGAGTCACGCCTGATTGCTGCGATAAATACCCATGCGGAAAGGTACGGATCCAAGTATCCGCCCCTCACTGCAGTACTAACACAAGTGGCAGCTTTGCACGAACAAGCAGACTAGCAACGAACATTGTGGCAAATGCAACAGAAAGGTTAGCCCTCTGAATCGAGCCTCGATCTTGTTCCCTGCTGATCGACTACGGATAGTGCGGATCTTATCAAAAGTGTGTACGCGGTCAGTGTAAGCCTACCGTGACGACGACAACGACGACCAGCACATCCGCGACCACCTCATCTACGACCACCTCATCGACAACCACCTCATCGACAACCACCTCATCGACAACCACATCATCGACGACCACATCATCGACAACCACATCATTGACGACCACATCATCATCGACCACTACGTCCTCGACAACCACATCGAGTACTGCTCCAGCCTGCTCCGGAACCGTGGTGCAAGGGGGACGCTTTCCCAGTGGTGCAACGGCATGCGGCAACGTCGCTTCCGATTACACACGCGAACCCATCAGCGCTCTCAATGGATCGCCGAGTTGCAGGGACAGCTGCGACACTGACCCGACTTGCAACAAGTACATTTACAGAAACGAAGACGGCGGCACCTTCTGCTATAGGAGTCCCAACCCAGGAAGTAGTACGAACCCATCTTTTTCAGATGGCTGTCCGTCGGGGGGCACCACAAATCTCTCCTTCCTCTCTTTCGGTTATCGGACAGGCTGCCCGTCTTAGCAACGCGAGAGAGTTGCACGATGCTCGGACTGGAATGTCTTGTCATTGGTTCGGCGCGCGTGCTTGCTTATCTAGTCCGAGATGGGCCGGCGATCCACATAGACAGACATTGATGTTCAAGGTTCTCGGCAGCAATTCGATTCGAGCAATCGTGGTCAAGGTTGGTGGGTGCTGGCTACTCGCCAAATCGTCTGATGTATATCTCTTCGCAAATCTTGTATCCGTAGCGATTCGACAAAAAGTTCGGGGCATTTTCTCCATCCTGTACACCACGAGTGAGCGCTACAGACTGCACTGCTATGCACATAATGGTCGAGGAATACATTACTCTGCTACGTTGTCTCAAGACAAATGGGCACACCTCAGACATGGTAGTAGCGCACTCGTACATTGCTGAGCAGGCGCTGCCGCGAGAACATCAATCAGCTACAGCGCGGTCTCACAAGCTGCCTCGAAGCCGTTCCAAGATGAGCAGCACGAGAAGCCACGAAGTGAAGCTGCAACGCGTGCACGGCCGTCAAATTTGGCCGAGATCCGAAAGTCTAACCGCATGTGGTAAGCGTGCAACGCGTGTAGAAACGCGCTCAGCAACACATTCGGCGACACTGGACACTATGGCGACAGACATGGAAATCGACGAAACGGCGAATGGTGTTTCGAGATCGCCGTCACCGGCTGGACCACCGCCCACACCCTCTGCGCCTGGACCTCGAGCGACCGCGCTACAGAAGCTGTACAACGATGCCATCAACCACGTCTTAAAAACATGCTCTTATACCAATTTCGCTGCATGTTTTCCTACACCGGCGCGAGAGGTACCCGAAGCCGTGAAGTTTCTACATGAGCAATTCCTGCACAAATTTGGCGATGGCTTGCGCAAAGAATTCGGACTCGTATTGGAGGACCGGAATGTTGTCCCTTCTCTCAACGAGCTCGATCGCTTGATCGAAGATGCCAGAAAGCGGAAAGCACAGGCTATGGAGCGAGGAGAGGGCACTGCGCCGGTGCCGGCACATACTTTGCCGGCGCGACAGTTGTACATCAGCCATTTGGCACCAACACTCGGCGAATGGGACAGGAATATGCGGGAGAGGCAGGAGATGCTGGCAAGAGAGAACGAAGAGATCATGGAGCGGGTGCAACAACAGCGGCAGGATATCAAGCGATTACTTGATGGGCTCGAGAATGTGGTGAAGGATTTGAACGGGAGTGTCGCGGCACTGCAACCAGAGCAGATGGAAGGTCTGCGGGAGGAAGCAAGAGAGGCCGACAGTGCAATGAGATGACAGAATTTCATGACAAGCATCGATCTTCGGCGTTGAGGGATGGGAGCGATGGAATGCGGCGCAGGGCGCTATACAACGCAGGAAGCACTGCGATACCTTCTCACGAGATACCCAGATTTTGTCGTTTCAGTGGAAACAATCGCGCATGTAGTGAGGGCCAGTGAATTCGAGCTCGAGCCTTTTGTATGATTTTTATACCCGAAATGCTCAATGAGCTATTATGACCGGACCGTGACGCCTACGCTTCCCCGGAAACTCCCATCTATTGCGCCTTTGCTGCGGCAGCCTTCTTCGCTTTCAATGCCTTTTTCCTGTTGCTCCTTATCATGACAACGCTCAGGAAACTGCCGACTACGGCTCCGCCGACAAGGAGCAAGATGACTGGAATGCGGATCGCCCAGACTCGAGGAGGGAATAGGTTTTGGACAGGATGCGAATCGTCGACGAATGGCTAGAGAGAATGAGTGACCGCGTAGGATGTGATTCGAGATTGGCGCATACCATGAGCAGAGTCCAGATAGTGTAGTAAAGGAAGATAGTTGAAGCGACGACAAGCATTGCAAGTCCTACGAGGCGATCAAGCTGGGAACAAAAGTTAGCTCGTTTGGGGTCTTCTCGCGAGAGCGTGTGCAGCGTACCAGGTTGTTGGCGGCCATGGTAGAGTGAAGTCGCGAACTTGCGGCAAAGGAGTGTGTGAAGTGACGCGACGGCGAGACAAAGTGCTTCAGATGAGGCTCGGGAGTAGCGTAGAGTGGCAGCTGGTGTCAGAGGCCGGACGCGATTGGGGTAACGTGGTGCTTGTGAACTTCTGCTGCCCTCAGGGTCTCGAACGACGTACTTGGCACTTCGTCAATCGTCAACTTCGCCGCTGATACCACCGCCTCAACTTGTTTGTGCTGCCTTGTGCCCGCCTCTGACACATCTCTTTCGCACGATTTCATCTTTCCTGCCTCACACACACTTCAAAACCACCACAGATTGCAGCTGCCGCCATGTGGGTCATCGACTGGTGTAAGGCATCTTCAGTGGAGCGGCTCCGGACAATAGTGAAGCTGACAGAACGGTAGTCTGGGACCTGCTGGCCAACTTGGGCCTGGCCAACAAGCACGCCAAACTGCTCTTCCTTGGTCTCGACAATGCCGGAAAGACTACTGTATGTGCGAGGGCTTGAGGCAGTGGAAGCATTTTGGACACACTACTGACCAGTACAAACAGCTCCTCCACATGCTCAAGAACGACCGCGTCGCCATCCTCCAGCCCACCCTCCATCCGACTTCTGAGGAACTCAGCGTAGGCAGCTGCCGCTTTACCACCTTCGATCTCGGCGGTCACCAGCAGGCACGCCGCCTGTGGAAGGACTACTTCCCCGAAGTCAGCGGCATCGTCTTTCTCGTCGATGCGAAAGACCCAGAGCGATTCGCCGAATCGAAAGCCGAGCTTGACGCTCTGCTCAGCATGGAGGATCTCGCGAAGACACCATTCCTGATCCTCGGCAACAAGATCGATCACCCCAACGCAGTCAGCGAGGACCAATTACGCCATGAGCTAGGGCTGTATCAGACAACAGGAAAGGGCAAGGTGCCTCTTGATGGCATCAGGCCAATTGAGATTTTCATGTGCTCGGTTGTTATGAGGCAAGGCTACGGAGACGGTATCCGCTGGTTGTCGCAGTATGTGTAAGGTTGTATCTTTGGGCGTTACTCTGGGCACAGTCATGGTGATCTGGCGTATGCGAAGGAAGATACAGTCCTGGGACAAGCACTAGCAGGGACGAGACACTCGACAAGAAATGAGTCCCAATTAGATGCTCTCATATCTCACCCCCGTGGGAAAGAAGAGCGTGATTTTATGCCTCCCGCACTGACTTCGCAGTAACATTTGCAGCAGATGTTCAATCTATCATTTTGTGTTCTACGATTCGTCATGTTATGCTTATGGTCTTGCAGAGAGAAGGCGCAACCCACCGGTCTTTCCCCCACCTGCCTGCGCTGGCCAAGATGCAATTTCCCCAACCGCATCAAGAACTGAAGTCAAGCGCGAAGAGGTGTCGCAAGTCTCCTTCCGCAGGTCCTCCAAGGCGTTGCAGCGCGACGTCTAGCTCTTGGTTTGGAACTTTTCCATACGCTCTTGCCAGCCTCTTGAGCTGCCCAAGTGCACCTGGGCCCTATTCAGTGACATGCCTGTCTCAGGAGGCCATTCGGACACTTCTTCACCCGCGTCTTGCGGCGTCTTCAGCGTCGCGCGACGGGCAGGACGGCAGCATTCTTTGGTCACACATCTCTGCATCGCGACGTCTTTTGATCACTTGCACAGCCCGGATTGTGCGACGCCAACTGGACAGCCCACCTAATATTCAATGCCGGCAATGCCGGTCGACGGACTGACGCTTGTGGCGTCATTTTGCAGTACTATTGGAGCGGTGATCATCTCGCAGTCATGGGAACGACTCATGGAGAGGAAAAACAAGCATCGAGAGAACAGCCGTAAATCGTGAGTACGCAACGACGGACAAAGCAGACAACTCCGCCTGAGCTCTGATCCCGTTCGACATGGCCCTATGCTATGGGAAAGGATTGCGAGGCTGCAGTATTTGCGCTAACCTGTGACTAGATGGATAAGACGAAAATGGTCACGCAGGAAGAAGTCGATACGCAGGAAACAGTCGAGCGCAAGCCTCCCGGATCCAATCATAAGGCGCGGAAGGAATTCATTTGCCAGTGAGCACATCTACGGGCCAGGATTCAAGGCTCCCTGGGCGCGGAGCAATCTACAGCTGCCTCAGGAACCGGAGCGCGAGAGAGTGCGTCACGCTGTTCAACAACCAAGCCAAAGTTCTCAAATCTTCCTTCATCGAGCAGACAGTACTCCAGCTGTACTTCAGAGTATACCTGAGGAGCCATCACGGCGGCGTCGATCGAGTGCATCCACGAGCTCCACCAGCAGTATTCCGCAGGGTGACGGATCGAGAGACAGGGTCCAGCGTAAGAGGCGCAACAAACTCAAGCGTTACGAAGACGTGTCAGAGCAGTTGGCCGAACTTGAGAGAATGATCATGGACGACCGCATCGAGGCGCTAAGGTGGAAGATGTGGCAGAACCGGATCGACGAGATGGAAGAGCGTGTCGTCGGACTTGGGCACAAGGCTGGAACAGACGGAGCTCCACTTCGTAAAGCGGCATCGATAGGCCCTGGCCCGGTGACACAAAGACACGAGGAAGCGATTCAAAGCTTGAGAGACGCTGCAGCCACAGCTGCCATGCAGGACTTGAGTGCATTGCGTCACGAGAGCACGCTCGAAAATCGTCCGCCAGCAGTCGAAGTTGTGCCCCCGTCAAGGGATGTGAGATGATCTGTAGAAAGAACGCTGTACCTGAGAAATTATCTTGTTTCCAATCGTGCAATTTTGATGTTCAATATTGCAAGTTTTCGGATGGACTTGAGATTCCTCGCCTGTGAGACATTTGGCTTAGGGACCGTCACGGTGCCATGACCGTACCGTACCAGCCGATGAGACGAAATGACAGATTGATGACTCTGAGTCTAGTCGTGTATCGAGGAGAAGATTCGAATTCCGTTCGCGCTGGTTGCAAGCTGCAGAGTTTGCAAGATTTGCTTGCAACACCTGGCCATGCTCTTCCCCTCGCATATTTACCCATGCCGAAGATCACATCGAAGCTTTCACGGGCCATGCGTGGCTGCTGCACGACGCGAGCAAGATGCCATTGAGTTGGGACTTCCGTTGGCGGCGGGTGATCGACCACCAATTGCTGCAACTTCGACTTTGCTGCTGATTCTGAACTTGTATCTTCTGCAACACAACTCTGACACTTCTTCGTCCAAGCCATCGTACCGCATCGTCTCTCGATAACGCACGACACGTCCCGGCCCTCTGCGTGACATGGCTCGGAGCCCCTCACGCGAATGCGAGTGGCAGAACGCCCCATGTCACAACGAAGGATCGCGGGCTCTTCCCTGCAGATGACCCATGTTGACACAGCTCCTTGCCAGGATGGAGCTCTGCACGGCGATGCGACGTTTTCCAACGACGACTTCACGTCTTCACTTTGCAGGCGCGCGCCTGCCTCACCGTCTCCCAGCGTGAGGCACTCGTAGGATTCCAGTCTCCACGAGTCCGGGCGTCTGTCCACGATCCGCACACAAGTTCTTTGTTCACCCCGCAACGAGCTACACGTAAATGAAGACGGCAGAGGACGTGGACTGACATGAGGGCCTCTGTGAACCGCAGCGGTGGCCATGGCTTGGCGTTCACTTCTGTTGACTTAACTTCCGCAGAGCAGGTTGAAGCGTCTTCGAAGTTGAGCAACTGGTTAAGAGTGACAGACGCTCTGTGAAAACAGTTCTTCAGTTGAAGCGCCGAGTTGGATATAAAACCGTGTCAAGTACTGGCGTGCAGCTTCTTCTGTTCCTTTGCATGTTTTCTCTCACGAGGCTCTTCCTTCATGAGCTTGCCTTTACACCTTGGCCACTGCTCACACTCTCTAGTCAAGTCCTTCGTGGAACTGGACCGCCGCGTTCGACAGCGATTGTGCTCGTACGTATTACCAGCCGATGCACCTTCCTCGCGCTCAGACTTCACTTCACTTCACTTTCTCTTCTCGAAGGCGATTGGCTCGCGAAGATTCTTGTTGCATTAGCGCCGTTGCTGCCTCCACTGACCAGGCGCTGCCCCTCGTTCGCAGACAAACAACTCTCCAACTTCGCAACTTCGCCAACTTAGCTGCAACATCACCAACACTCGTCGCAATGAGGCGCAGTGTGAAAGAAGAGCCAGATCACCTGCGGCAGAATAGCATTCCGCTTCGCCAAGTTACCCCCGTCAGCATAATGGACGCCGACGACATTGGCGCCAGCTCGACACAGCCCAACTCGTCAAGAAGCACCATGACTGACACCACTCTGAATGGAGACGTTCCGATGATGGACACTACTGCGACTGCAACTGACGATCCACTCTACCTCTTCGGTCGCAAAGGCCGCGAATTGATCCAGGCAGTGCAGAAGCTGCAATGCTTGGGCATCGATACGACCTTGCCTTCACTACCAAAGGTCGTCGTTATTGGCGACCAATCTGCTGGCAAATCCTCCATTGTGCGTTATTCGATATTAATCCCCCTACCAGTCCCGACTAACTTGTTGCTGCAGATCGAAGCGATCAGCGATATCACGTTGCCGCGCAGTGAGGGGACTTGTACCCGCTGCCCATTCAGAATAACAACGCACGCGTCTCAGGAAGGCGACCCGGAATGGAGCTGCACGATCTCGTTGCAATGTGAATCCTACCGTCTGCCAGGGGTCGCCAACGGCCAGAGCGAGTTCGACGGTTGGGCTAAATACGGCCAGATGGACATTGTGCATTTTGCCAAAATTACAAGCAAGACCGATCTCGAACTTACACTTCGACGAGCACAGGCTGCAATGCTCAACCCGTCTAAGAGCTGGCGTCACTTCAACGAGCTATCCGCAGATGAGCTCGACAATACCAAATATCAAGTCGACTTCTCGCCAAACGTCATCTCTCTGGAGATCACGGCTCCTAAATTGCTTGAGCTGTCGTTCTACGACCTCCCAGGCGCCATCAATGTCATGCTTGACGAGGCGCAGGACTATATTTCGGAATTTGTGGAGGTGAGTAATTTCGCGAAGTTCGTTTCGAAAAGTACTGACAAGGTCCAGACTCTCTTGAAGTTGTATTTAAACGATGATCAAGCTTTGGTGGTCATCGCTTGCCCTGCTAATCAGGACGTGGAAACCGGCACAGCAATGAAATACCTGCGCAAGTGCAAGGCCGCTGGCCGGGCAATTGGCGTTCTCACAAAGCCAGACCTCGTCGACATCACGCCGACTCGCCTAGCGAGTTTTGAGAAAATGCTTTCTGGCAATGGGTTTCGTCTGGATGGCGGCTGGTTCATGTGCAGACAGCTATCGCAGAGACAGCTAGACCAAGCCGCACGCCCGACGTACGATGAAGCACGGGCTCAGGAAACCAACTTCTTCTCATCAGATCCATGGACTACGCGACTTGCAGCCTACCAAGACAGATTCGGAATAGCAAATTTCCAGAAGGCTGTTGCAAAGAGACATATCCAGCGCATACTGGATAGTCTTCCAACCATAGAGCACCGCCTTCGGGAGAGACTGAACGAAGTCGAGAAGGAGCTCATGCGTTATCCAGAAAAGCCCGTGCAGCCGGGTCTCGAAATCATGGCCGACATCAGGAACGTCGTCAATGCAATCATGGCAAAGTGCAGCGCTGAGTCAAAAGAGTCAGCATTCCGAGCAAATCAAATCGCCAACAACAAGAGCCTGGCGAAGCAGCTTCAAAATGCGGCTCCCACAGTGATTCTCTCAACTCCGGGATATGAAAAGCCTCCCATTCCTGTAGACGACGACTCAGAGGAAATGGATGAGACGCCGTCAAAGCGCTCAAGGATGAATAATGGCCGGGCCAGCAGCGTGACACCCCTGCGAACTGCATCGAACGCTAGAGGTACGCCTTTTCGCACTCCACTGGCGCCTGGCGGAAAGCGAAAGACTGTACAACCTCCACCACAGACTCCAGGATTCAAGACGGTCTTTCGCTTGGACGATGTCAAAAAGCGCTTCGATCGCACGCCAAGTGCAAGCTTGCCGGATGGCGTGGACGCTAGAATTACCCATGATCTGGCGAAGGAAGCCACTAGCTGTTTCAGCAACCTAACGCAACGAGCCTTGGACAAATTTGAGACTCTCGCAATTCAAATGCTGGACGATAGTGTCGCGGAGTCGATTGCGAAGCGGCAAGGGACCGAGCTGTTCAATGCAGTATCCTCCATTCTGCGCGCTTTGTTGGCCGAGCTGTTTCAGAAAGAGGTGGACAATCTACACCATCACATCTGCTGTCTTACGCATAGGCCAATCTCATACGGCAAAGATTGGTGGACAGAGACCAGAGAGGCGCACCATACGAAGCTTCGGGAAGGCCGCGACGTACAGCGTGTTCTGGAGTACTTCGAAACTCTGGAGTCTCAGAGAATAAAGGTTCCAGCAGCTATCGAAGACCGCAAGAAAAAGGCCTTGGATGCCGCTTGGGTGAAGGCTACCATTGACTCCCCTTCATATGCTAGGGAGTTGAAAGAGCTCGCGATTCCCCTAACCTTCTACGATCTGGCTTCCGGACAACTCGTCGACACTGTTGCTCGCCATCTCGACTACTTGATTTACCAAATCCAGTCCAGAGTAGATCGAGAGCTGAGCGTCGGTCTTAGACCAGATGAGCCTGAGCGTGCAGCTATGCTTTTGGTCGAGGATCCTCAGCGCGAACTCAAGCGCAACGAGTTGGAGTCTGAGAAGAACAGACTCGAAGAGGCACTCGACGAGCTCAAGGTCCTGTCGACCACAGAGACTTGATCATCTTCATCAGTCGCAGACACATCGAAGATTGCTCTTGGGAAATTGCGAATGGGTAACGTGAGAATTGGTGCAAGGAAGAAGGATAGATTTGCGGCGATCACACATTGCGGGCAAATACACTACATGGAGAGCGACAAACAACGCAAGACTTGCTGCGACTTGCAGCAATTGAGAGAGCTTTCGCTGAGCGCTTTTTTGCATGCTTTGGTAGCGCTATTTGACGCTAGAAATTGAAGTCCTCGAAAACAAGCTCTTTGCCAGGTAGCCACTCCGTCAAACGCTGTCTCATCGGAACACTCGTGCAAAGATAATATCTTGTCACTTCGTTCCCCAGCTGTACATCGCTTTGCTCAATCCTTCGCAAGTTTACATTAACGCTCTTCCCTTTCAGTAGCGTCACATTTTCATCATCCTCCTTCGCATTCGTGACAAACAAGACCAGGCTTTCGGTAACCTTTGGATGCTGTTCGACAACATCAGCAACCAAAGGAAGATCCTCGGCTCTTACAGACCAGAAAAGTTTCAACCTTGAAAAGTCCAGCCTCGAAAGAGAAGGTAATATCGGAGTGATTCCAACCCCAGCAGCAACGAAAGCGATACTCTCTGTAGCATTTTGCTGCACTTCAAATTCACCGCCGAAGCCTTTCACACCCACTTCCAAACTTTGACGCTGATCAGAGCCTCGATGTTTGGAGAGGAACTCAGTCACAGCTCCGACCTTCCGAATCGTGATTTCAAATTCGTCATCTTTAAGCTTTCTTACAGGATCTGGTGGATTGCCTGGTGGGCTGCTGACGGTGAAAGTACGGACGAAGTCGTCGTTGAGACTACGTGGATCATCGTCTCTCATGTGTTGGTAGCCGATATCGAGATGCGAAGAGAGATCCAGAGTCACATATTGTCCAGGTTTGTAGGTTGCTGCGTCTTGAAGGCTGAATTTAAAGCGTGAAATTGTTGGTGTAAGCTTCGTTTGGCTGAGTAATGTCGCTTGCTGAAGCTGTTCGTCTTGTGATATTGAAGCTTGTTTCTCGGTAGATAGGTATCGGATTTGAGGGTTGTAAGGGGATTTCTCGCCAGCGATGCCGCGGAATGGAAGAGCTTGTGCAACGAAACGAGCGGATGTGACAGTAAGTTTGACGCAGAGATTTGATCGCGGCAATAGTGCAGCAGCGTCTGCTCCTATGAGTATCTCGGTTGCGCCTGTGATGTACAAACAATCGCCAGTGTCGAAGTCGGGTACACAGATGCCTGCCTTTGGATTTACAGCCAGATTTCCGAGAGTCTGATAGAGTCGATTACCAGAATACTCGGGCCAAGCTAAGACGGCTCCGGATGCTTCATTCGAACCCACACGAAGAAAGCCAGCAGGGCCTCCACGGTGATTCGTATCCATATCCTCCTCCTTGTTTGCACTCGATACGAAGAATAAATCAGCCTTCGCCAACAAGTCTAACGCCTGCTGCGGCAATTGAGCTGAATCAGAGACCAACTCCGGCTTTGCAACAGCAGGCTGAATTTTACGCTTGTTGAGATACTTGGGACAATTTCCCAAGCTCTGCTCAATTTTGAGCACGATTTGCATCTCGACGGTAGATTCTTGTTGACCGGTGACTTCATCATCTCTCGTACTGAGAGCGCCAGCGACCATCCGGCCATATAACTTGACCCGTTTCCGAGTGTCGAGGTCGATTGTAAGGCCACTGATCATTCTGCCCTTGCCTTCTTCACGAACGACTTGGCCAGTGGCTTCCTTGCCGACAAGCAGCTCAACAACCGGATCATGCTTGCCAGTCACAGCTGATTTGATGCCAATGATGCCGTTGCCGAGCGGTTGCGAAAGAGGCTTCTCCCCGCCCAAAAGTGTCGTCCACGGTCGTCCATCAGCATCAATGGTGCCAAGAGAGATTGTTGGAGCTATTTGGAGATGATTTGCCAGTTGAGGCGAAAGTTGAGGCACCGTAGGGTTGTCCAATCCATGAACCTGCAATTTCCGTTGCATTTCAGCTTCGCCTGAATGCCAGTCCAGAGCTCCGAAGAAGACCGCCATTTTGTATGCTTGTTGCTTGCGGAAAGTCCTTCGTGTATGCTACGTGAACAGCTTCTTCTCATGTGGGGACCGCGAAGGTTTACCTAGAGCCGAGCTTACAAAGATGAAGATGTCAGCGAGATAAATGCCCTGTGTCAGCCACAGAATCGGGCATGATGTGGCATGCGCCTCCAACAACTTCGGCGTAGGGAGATCATGCACCAGAGCAGCCGGGTGTCAGCAATGCCTGCACGGTGGAAGGGAGCGACTCAGCGAGCACCTCCATTCGATGCTCAAGGGTGCAGCGATCTTGGCATTGAGCTAGCCTCAAGCTGGAGGACAACAGCGAATCAGACTGTCAATGATGTGATGTACACATATGTTGGAATCTATGCCCCTACCACATTAGCCGACTTCAATGTAGTCACTCGACTACTTTGCTTCACGACCTTTGCGACCAGAGCATTCCGCATAACTTTGCCATGAAAAGTCAGCCTGCGTAGTTGCACGTAGACCCTCCGTGACCTTCGCACGCTTCCAACTACTCCCTAGCTTCCGAAAATGTGTGAGCGGTATTAGATCAATGTATTCGTTCATAGGCGGCCATAACATCTCGCAGCCTGCCTGGCACTGCCGCTCAACGCCACATCGAGTTCACTCAACAGGCGTACTATGTTCTGCGTCTACTCGACGCAGCAGACTGCAACATAACCACCGAACGCCTCGCTAAACATCAATATTAATATCACAGCTCATCCCAGACCAAAGGCTTGCTGCTTTCACACAGCCGATTGGATCGCTTGAGCGCAAGCACCACCGCTACGTGAAAGGCGAGTAGCAGCAGCGAATGTCGTGTACTGAAATGTATCAGACCCAGATCCAGTGCTGCAAGGCCCAGTAGCGAGTAGAGCAGCCATTGGTTTGGTGCATATGGCGTGCAAGGAATCGATAACGTCAGCAGCTTGATCATGAAGAATATGCCTCGCAACACTGCGGGAGAAGACAAGGAGGAGACAACACCGACTCGATTCGCAGTGCTGGCCTCCGGCGGAGGAAGCATGAGTCTTGGGCTTTGCTCTGGTGCTTTGACCTTCGTAGCAGCATCAGTGAAGTCGATTTGGTGCGGCGTTATTGCGAGCGAACCCTCCGAGGGGCTCAGTGGTCTGCTTCGGCTTCGTTCCTGCATGATCGGACTTCTTGAGCGGAAGCTGTCGGTCGCATACTGTCTCACTGGAGAAGGCAGTCCTGGCCTTGAAGAGAAATAGGAGGGTTTTCGAGGCCGCGACGCAGGCTTGGGTGCTGGTGAGTCGATTGCAGATACTCGTGCCGTGTGTTCTTCCGTGGCCCAGGCTCCGTCACCCAAAGCGACACCCCCCTTGATGCTGGCCAGGATCTCTTCAGTACTCGGCCGCTCATTCGGATCAACGCTAAGTAGCCTTCTGAGGTACTTGTACAGCCTCTCGGGCAAGTCAGGGCGCATCCGGCTCTCATCATTGAAGCCAGACCACTTCTTGATTTCTGCCTTCAGCTCATCCAGATCCTCGTTCTCCTCATTGATGTCATCGGCATTTGCGTATGGTAGTCGTCCGAAGCACATGAAGTAAACGATCATGCCGAGAGAGAAAATATCCGACTTTGTCGTGAAGTTGCCGAAAGAGCCATTGGAAGTGCGCACGAGCACTTCGGGGGCGCAGTAAGATATTGTGCCTGTTGCGCCCGAGGATGCACGTTCTGCGCCAGCTGCCTGCACTTCTCCGAAGTCGGATATGAGTACTCTGACCTTGCCATCGTCACGCTGTAGCAAGCAATTGGAAGGTTTCAGGTCTCTGTGAATGTAGCCTTTGCTGTGTAAATGATGCAGGCCGGACGTGATATCCCTGAAGAAAGAGAAAATCTCATCGAGCGACAGCTTGCTTGGGCCTCGCAATTCGTGAGGGGGACTTGTGTCGCCCCTAGACTTCCTCCGAAGTCTGTTCTTCAAGTTTTCGGTGGATGACGTGGTCTTCGGAGGACCCAATACATAGCTATGGAGGTCACCACCATTGCAATAGTCCTGTAGGATCCAAAGGCAAGGTATACTAGGGCCGAACGTAGACGGCTGGTGGTCCTCAAGCCTGGGTCGTAGGAATCAAGTCAGCAACCATTTCTTCGTACGAAACGCTCAGCAAAATCGCTTACCAGGTCCAGTGATACGCAACCAAGTTCTTGTGCGGTATCTTCTGTAACAGCTTGACCTCCACGATGACTTTCTCGAAATACATCTTGCTGTCACCGACCGGAATGCGTTTACATGCAAAGTGGCCAAGCGAAACACCATCAATGAGATGCTCTACCAGGAGCACCACGCCATTGCCACCACGACCAAGCTCTCGCTCCGTTCGGAAGAACTGTTGGAAATAGCCTGGCGAGAATGCAGAGCTGCTAATACCTTGACCACTTGAAGATGAAGGCTCGCTGGCAACGAACTCAGCACCAGTGGGAGGTCCATGTGTACCACTGACCTCCCTCGATCTGCCCGACCTGATAGCTATCGGAATGCGCCTGCTTGGGCTCGAAGTGCCGGAACCTGCTGGTGAAGGCCGCCGGCTCGCGGCAAGCATTCCAAAGTAGTCGGGGTCGACGAAGGGACGATCAGGGCCCACATTGTGACTTGCATCTCCATCGTCGGTAGAGGAATCTCGGTTTCGAAGCGGTTGATGGCAGTATGGGCATTCTGGAAGCTCTATGGGCTGATCGGCAGCTTGCCGCACAGACAATTGCCGAGAGTGAGCATCATAAACCACGACGGCATTGCCGCGTCGCCTGGTGCAGCATTTCAGCTCAGATTGCTATTGACGTGGAAAGTGTAACTTACAGCACAACTTCTCGAGAATCGGAAGCATAAGGTACTAGACTCATTTGCCGTGCAGGCTGCGGTGGCGTCTGGTCAGCCATTGGTCATGGCATTCATGTCGCGGATAGCTGGACGACAATACATCTGGTGACTGTGTGCTCGGTTGCAGATCAACTGAAGCCGTTGCGTGAGACGCGCGTGATGTTGACGCGGAAACAGAGGATGCACAAGCGGCGAAGCAGCAGCCGCAGCAGGCTTGGCAAGCTGACTATTTTCTTGGCACAAAGAGATACAATACATGTAACAGGTGCAGGTACTGTTCGCAAGTCCATTACTCGGTCATCTATCATTCTATCGAGCTACGCTGTATGAACGCCTCCCATGCACGTAAATCTCATCGTCAACTGTGACACTACCGACCCTGAGGTATCATCAATCTGCAAATCTCGCGAGGCAAACGCAACGCCGGACGCCTCATGCACTCACACCACATCGTGATGATGGACAACGATTACTCGCTATGCCGAGCGCCATGCAACATAAACCAAAACTTACTTTTCCAGCTCTACTCGTCCTCGTCATCAGTGTCCTTGAGATGTGGTGTTCCCTTTGGACTGTTCAACCATTCAATGTGCCTCAATCTTCTTCGCACCTCACGCTCCTTCTTATCCTTCTTGGTCATCTTCTTCTTTTTGGCAGCCTTGAACTTCATGGGACTGTCGTCCTCACTTTGCGCTCCACTGCCGATTGGGGTACCAGTTGTGCTTGGCGCCGCTGACGAGGCAGCGGTAGATGGCGCAGCAGAGGATGCGAGCGAGCTTCCAGGCCGAGAATCCTCAAATCGGTCAAGGGACACTGCAAGGTGGCCCTTCTGTGTGAGGCGGCCGTTGTCAACGTGCCACTGTTCTGGGCAAAGCGCGCCAACGAACTCCTCGTTGTGAGAGATCATGACCACACCTCCCTTGTAATCACGAATGGCAACGGCGAGACCTCCGAGCGAGTCACGGTCCAAGAAGTTGGTTGGCTCGTCCAGCACCAGCAAATGCGGGTTGTTCCACATGGCACCGGCAAGTACAACCTTGACTTTTTGGCCACCGGAGAGGCCTGAGATTTCATTATGGTTGGCGATCTCTGGGTCAAGGCCGACGTCCTCGAAGTGCTTGGAGATGACCTTGGGCTCGAGTTGACGGAAGCCCAAACCTTCTCTGCTTGCTTCGTGATCGTCGAACTCTTGAATGACCTTCTGGTATCCAAGATCCGACAGTGTCTCACGCGAGACCATGGTGTTGTACTTTGGTAGCCAGTTCTTCCACTTCACCTCGTATTGGAACGTTTTCTTGTACTTCTGGCGACCAATAAGAGCTTCCAGCTGTCTTTGCCCACGACCGTCGCCAATATCGACCCACTTCTCCATTTGTGCCTTGTCCTCGTCGGTCAAGATACGAGTCTGCTTCATCAGTACTTCACGGTCGTCGCCATGAGCGTATCGCCATTGTAGGTACTGGTTTGGCGTCTTCTCAAGGTGCATTTCAACGTGCTCAAGAGCGTGCTGCTTAATGTAACCGATACGCAAGTTGGGGTGCTTCTCGACCCGACCAGTCTGAGGAATGACCTCGCCGGTAAGCACCTTGATCATCGTAGATTTTCCAGCGCCGTTAGGCCCGATGATGGCAACTCTGCTGCTCAGGGTAAGTTGGGCTGTGACATTCTGCAAGCTGGGCTTGCTGGCTCCTGGGTATGTGAAGGAGCAGTCTGTCATGCGGAGAATAGATCTTGTGTTGGACTTGACACCAGTCAAGATACCAGGAGGTGGGAATTTGAAGGAGACCTGCGAATCTGACAGAGTGTAGTAACTCTTTGCTTCAGGTCGGACCTTGACCAGATCTGCGAGGTTACCCTTGTAGTGGACCAGCTTCTTGTTCTCGTAGTTGTAGATATCAGTGCAAACTTCGTCCAAGAAGCCAGAGTCGTGAGACACGATAAGAGAAGTGATATCAGTGTGCGTCTTGAGATAGTCTTGCAGCCACTTGACGTTGCCAACGTCCAAGTGGTTTGTCGGTTCGTCCAGCAAGAAGACATCAGCACGCATCAACATCGCTCTGGCCAGCGCAAGCTTCATCTTCCATCCTCCAGACAGACTGCCAACCTTTTGCTGTTGTCGACCCTCGGGGCCTCTGGTGAACCCGACCTCTTCCAAGACATTCTCAATGCGTTCCTGACCTTCTTTCTGGATCTCGGGGTCCTTCAGGCAGTATTCCAAGATGGTGATCTCCGCATCCTCGCCTTGATTATGCTCAACGAAACATGTCTTGACCTCGTCTTGAGGTGGGAAACCATCGAGCTTGCCTGTTGCGATCGATCGCATCAGTGTTGACTTTCCAGCTCCGTTGCGACCGCACAGGCCATAGCGATGTCCCTTGAGCAATCGCATATTGGTATGAGACAGCAACAGCATGCCTCCGTATCCAAGAGAGAAGTTCGCGTTCACAATCTCAATTTCGCCGTCATCCTCCTTGACAGGCTCTCCATATTTGCGCTCATCCTCGGCAACATAATGCTTGTGCAAGTTCTCTGCAACTGCTTCAGCCTTGCCCGGCTCCAAAAGAGGCTGGAGGTAAGGCACGATGTTGCGAGTGACACGCTCGAGGAGGCGTTGGTTGACATCCTCAGCAACAATCGCTGATACGTAGCGCTTAGCTGGAGCCCACAACTCTGTATCGCCAGGATAGTTGAGAAGGCCGCCATTCTGTTGAACCTCTGTCTCAAGCATAGCCTCGACCTCCTCCGGCTTAGTACGCTCGATGATGGCGCCGGCTTTGGTAGAGTCGCCGGTCTGAATCTCACCCATGGCCTTGAGCATGACAGCCAACGCTCTCGCACCAATTTCACGGACTTCGGGTAGCGAAGCACGATCTTTGATGCCTTGAATACCAGGCTTCAGCTTAGGTAGGAAAGTACGTGCTTCCACTGGATCGTGCACGAGTTTCGTCAAGTTCTCCACAACAACGGCGGTCTGACGAAGCACTTCTTGCGTTGTGGATGGGTTGTTGAGAACACGCTCCAGGATAGGTGTGATCAGTGCAAGAACAGGCGATGTAACGACCGTTACGAAGGTGGTCTGGCTCAGAGCGTGAATAGCCTTCTTCAACGCCTCCATGCTAGGATCCTCGATGCTCTTCACCAAGAGTGGTATTCTTGGGGCGACATCGTCGTTCTGGAGCAACTCAGTCAGGCTGTTCATGGTCTTGAGGGCCTGCTTCGTGACCTCTGCTTTCAGGTCGTGCATTCCCGCCTCCACGATGGGTATCAGGCTCGCCAGCTGTCTGCCCATGGCCTCACGGAGTACGTCTTTGCTCTGTTCCACCTCACGGCTCTCCATGCCCATCTTTGCATCATCTGCCATGCGGCCGAGGAGTTCAAGGCCTGCAACGGCACCTTGCCACTTTCCAGTGACCTTTCGGAGATACTCCATGACCGTCGGCATCAGCCCGAAAACCTTCGCCTCAGCCGACAGGTGTCCATATAGCGCATCCAGAGCATATTTCGCGCCCTCCTTGACCGAAGACTGCCTGTCCGCCAGCGCATCTAGCGCGCACGAAATTAAGCCTGGCTCTTGTACCAGGAAAATCACCTCGCTAAGCCTGCTCTTCGGTGGGAATCGTTCAAAAATGGCGCCGAGCGCAAACATTGCGCCCTCACGTTTTGCGGCATCCTTCTTGTTCGTTGCAGCCTTGATAATCTCTGGAATTATGCCGTACGCCGCGAGTCCGCGGGCTCCGACGCTGTTGAGAAGAACATCGGTCAGGGCGTAAGCGGCGTCGAGCGACTGCTGTGACTGCTTCGCTGTGTATATGGTGTTGGTGATTTGTGCAACGTCTTCAGGAGCCGGAGCAGCAGACTTGCTGCTCACCATGACTGGCAACATTGGAGGCGACTCGTGGTGAGGCATGGCCTCGTGGCACGTTCGTTGCGGGGGCTGAGTTGCGAGAGGAGCAGTCGGGATTTTTTTTCGCGCGACGATCGGGTTCGGGTGTCGAAGGCGATCCAACTCTGGGAGATTGCAGGTCTATACTGCTGCAAAAACCACCCACTCGGCAACAAGAAAAAGAAAAGGAGCGGAGATGTGAGTTAGTGAAAGGTGTAGAGCGAGAAAGACGAGTATTCGGTCACTCGAAATTTTGGCCCTCGATAAGAGATCACAGGGATCGGTACAAGGATGCCGACCCACTTATTGGGCTCAGGTCAGGGAGACCTTCCGGATGCGGACCACAAAATGGTAAGCATAACGGCACGTGGGAAATTGGACATCGCCAGTCATGGCAGAAGAAACTTAAAACAGAAGCACACTGCACGCTGCGAAAATTCAGTAGAACAGTAGTAACCTTCGGGTATCTCAGAAATGCATCTTTCGGTGACTGTCATGCCAGGACCTATGTGCCTCGTTGCTGCTCTAGCTAAAGGAGACTCGTGACCCGTAAACGCCCTTCATGATTGCAATCCCGTCATCTTTAATGCTTTTGTTTAGCGGGTGGTGGCCTTGACCTTTGGTGCAGAGCCCTTAGCGGCCTGCTTGCCGACGACGCTGCGATGTAATCAGTATGACCGCTTCTCCAGCGACTTGAAGGAGGATACACATACCGGCCAGTGGTTTGCCCGGCAGCGGACTTGGCAGCGCTCTTCGCCTTCTCGGCCTTCTTTGCGCTCTCGGTGGCAGCACGCTTCTTCTTACCCTCCTCAATAGCCTGCTTGCGAGCAGCAGAGCGGGCCTCTGGGCGCTGGGAGCGGCGCTCCTTGATCACGTCAAGAGACGCACCAACAACAGCACGCTGGGCCTTGACCTGCTTGCGACGGCGGGTCTTGGCTTGCTCCTAGGTTGGTCGTCAGACAATAGGTTCTAACATTGCCCACTGCTTCAGAGTCTAAGTCATACCTCAGAGATACCCTTGCGGCGGGCGCGACGGCAGAGAACGGTCCACGCAATGCGACGTGGGTTCTTGCGCTGCAGGAACAGCGACTCACTCTTGCCGTTCTGGAAACGGAAGATCTTGCTGTCCGAGCGGACGAAGAGCTTGCCCTATAGTTGTCCGGTCAGCCTGGATCCTCACAAGGTGCGTACACCACTCAGGCAATGTGCGAGGAAACGACATGTGCCAGCGCAAGCGCCAGACATTCGCTGCATCTCGGGCCACAGGCATAGCGATGCTGATAATCAGCGATACGCTTCTCTGTCTAGCCATTGTGTGTGTTTTTTGTGTTCAAGAGCAGTTTTGCCATTGCATATCCCTCCTCTTTCATTCTCGCTCGAGCGACCTGCGCGGGTGTGCGACGAAGCGCAAAACTCGTACCTTTCCAGGGTAGATCTTCTGACCGGAGAAGGTATCGTCGTAGGTCCTCATTTTGGCGGTTGGACGGTGAGGTTGTGCGTTGGGTGATCGGGCTTCGTGCCTACAGTGAGATCGAGCAGAAGCGTGGATTTCGGATGAGGAAAGTGCGAATTCTTGGCAGCGGCAACTCCCGTCTGACCCCAATCAATAATTGATTGATGTCTGTCATGGAGAGTGGCACGGGTGGTGTTGCGAGTGAAGAACATGGAATGACCGCACCAATTCTACATTTGTAGTCTTAAATGCTCTGATAGCGCTCGCGCTCTGCGGCCGAAGCACTTGTTGACCGCTAGCTCATGCACATTCAGAAACCTTCGCATACCGCATCCATCTGTCTCGCTTGGTACCCATCCATCATGCCCGGACTGTGATGCCTTGGCCACAGGATGCCGAAAGCACGCGACACTCCGATTGAGTGATGATTTGCTTTGTGTCTCCATCTGAAGCAGGGTCGCTGATCTGAAGGACATTCAGCCAGTCGTCCAAGGCATCTTAATGTGCAGCACAGAAACAAAGAAGTATGTCCTTCGCCAGTCGAGATGATGTGCTTCTTCTGTATGGCTTAGCGATCAATCTTCGATGTGCAGCCGCTGTCAATTTCCTGTCCTGTTGATCCTTTGGTGCCGTCTAGTGTGCAAGTCGAGGAATGAAGTTATGCGGCAGGGGGTATGCTGCAATACGACCATCGCGGCAGCCGGGAACTCACAAGAAGGCATACAGGCTGCGTGAATCAAATTGTAAAGGACCAGGCATAGCGGCATGCGCCGACCAGAGAAGTCAACACCCAAGTCGCACAATAGACTGCAGATGTTGTACGACTTGAAGGAGTGCTCAACTCGTGAGGTCAACTCATCAAGCAGTGCCTGCTACACCTGTCTCACTTCTTTGCCCTTTCCGTCCGGTCGCTCGTTCTCCCATTCGTCCCGGAGCACTGCATAGACAGTGTCAGTAAGCAAAATGAGTAGTGCCAAGCTCCACACGAGGGTGATAGCATAGAAAAAGTTCGCATTTCCCGAGCCGGCGTAGATCCACAGATGGTGAAATGCAGGGCCGAGTAGAGAGGCATAGAGTAACGCCGCCACAGCTGGGAACGTATAGCGATATGATGAGCACACTGGGAATAAACATCAGCCTGGCTCGAGCTATATGCGCGCGTCGACTTACATTCAAAAATGTGGCCGAGTAAGCATAGGCTGCCCAACCAGGTGCCAACGTCCCCGACGTTGGCGTAAGGCTGAAATACAGCATTGACCCCCATCATGAGGACAACAGCTGCCAATGGCTGTTTTCGGAATCGCAAACAGAACGGTATGCTGTATGACAGCATGTGCAGCCAGAATACGCCCAGAAAGAACTCTCGGAAGGCGTCAAACATTTCAATAAAAAAGTACCACCACAGCCCGACATTAGGAGTCAGATCTGGGAGTGTCAGAGGAGTCATGTAGACAGATTCCAGGAAGTGCCAAGATGGAAGGAGCAGGCGTGAGACGCCAATCAGGAAGCCTGTCGAAACGGCGAAAGTGCTGATGAAGACGATAGCGACTGGTAATATCGGCGGAAGTAGTTGTCGATTGAACGCAATCTTTGTGGCCCTCCCCATACCAGCTACGCCTTCTTCGGTCATTGTCGCAGTGCCAGACAGTTGGACGCAAAGTTGATCGTAGCAGAGAAGCCCGACCGGCGGTAGCAACAAGATTGGATGAAGGCTGATGTAGCTTGCTATTGCCAGAGCGAACGCTGCTGTCACAATCTTGGCCTGGCATGCATGTTTGACACTCAGCAGCGTGAAGAAGGCTGCAAACGTTGTCGTGGGTCGTCCTAGGCAGGCCAGGAGTGTGAACGGATTGAGCAGATACACTGCTGCAACCGATGCCGGCTCCCAGAGTCGGTTGGCTCTCGGCGATTTGTAAAGGAGAGACGCAGCAGCTGCGCCCGAGCAGGCAATATCGTAGATGCAGTCGGCAGTCAAAACGTCCAGTCCCGTATACAGTAGCACTGTCGCTAATCGGCCGATCCACGTGCTGGAAGATGGCAGTAGAGAGAACAGTGGCAAGAACAACGGAGCCTAAATTTGCTTAGTATCTGTGACGCGATCCGGAAATATCGTGCTGACCTGGTGAAAGATGCCGCCATCGTATGGGTCAAGTCCTCGCTCAAATAAGAACAAGCCTTCCTGTACTGTGCACTCTCAGCTCCTGTCTTTTACTTAGCCTGCGCGGCTTCTAGTGTCCATGATATCCGCATACATCTCTTGAAGCCGTTAATCGGAGTCGAGATCTCCACTCTGCTTGTCAACAGATCGGGGAGTCCAGGGAATGCTATCGCGAGAAGGATCCTCAGAACAGCTCCAACGGAGTAGAGCAGAGTCTTCGGGTGGTCATTGTAGACCTTGGTGATCGTGTTCATGGCTTATGCTCGTCGCCCTCATCGCATCGTGTCGCTGTCGGCACAGTGTGGGGTGGGTGTTGTAGACAACAATTGGCATATGCGGCCAGCGTGGACGCATACCCTGGCGTTCAACTTAGTTAGCGCGGCGCGGCAGGATTCCGAGGAAACCTTGTCTATGGAAAAAGTTCCAAAGCCGAACCTCCACTCGCAACAACATCACAACGGCAGCCATGGCGAAGATCAAGAAGAAAGGCAAGCGCATACTGGCAGAGCAAATCAGGACCTTGACTAACATGGCGACCAGGCACTTCGGGCAACGCCAAGAACTACATTACCCGCTCTCAAGCGGTGCGCAAGCTGCAAGTCTCGCTGCCAGATTTTCGACGATTGTGCATTTTCAAAGGTGCGAGCGATTTGCTGCACGGGTTCCGCGGCTGCCACATCTGACCGTCTTGGTAGGAATTTATCCTCGAGAACCTCGATCGAAAAAGCGAGCATCGAGATCCGCCACACCGTCGACCACTTTCTACTACACCAAAGATATTCAGTACCTTCTCCACGAACCACTCCTTGCCAAATTCCGCGATCAAAAAGCACTCGCAAAGAAGATTAGTCGAGCACTCGGCAAGAATGAGGTCAGCGACGCTTCGCGCATGGAGCGCAACCTCACGCCGCGAATGAAGCTGGATCACATTATCAAGGAACGATACCCTACCTTTGTTGACGCACTCCGAGACCTCGACGATGCGCTGTCAATGCTGTTTCTGTTCGCAAACCTTCCTAGCTCTTCCGAAGTACCACCCAAAATCATCGCCAAGTGCCAGCGATTGACACTGGAGTTCGAGCACTACCTCATCCGAACGCACAGCCTGAGAAAGAGCTTTTTGTCAATTAAGGGTATCTACTACCAGGCGACGATACAAGGACAGGATATCTTGTGGCTTGTGCCCTACCGCTTCGTGCAGAAGAACTCGCCAGATGTCGACTTCCGAATCATGGCCACTTTCGTGGAGTTCTACACCACATTACTGGGCTTCGTAAATTTCCGACTTTACAGCACGATCGGACTCGTGTATCCGCCGAAATTCGACTTGAAGAGTGAAGAGCAAGGAGCTGAGCTGGGAGCATTCAAGCTGGAGGGCAAGGATCAGGATAATGAAGAGGAAGAGCAGGAGCAACTGCCTGATGCAGCGGCAAATGAAAAGGCACAGGCGGAAGCGGATAGGCTGTTGGCATTACCAGAGACAGAGGATTCAGGACCCTCGCAGACCGCAGAAGGGGAAGAGAAGGCTACTGAGACTGCTCTGGACCAGTTTGAATCAGTGGATCCCAATGCCGACAAACTGCTCCAGCCATCCATCACGGCCGATGTGGAGTCTGCTGCGAAACTCTTCGAGTCTTTCACATTCTTCCTGTCCCGCGAGACTCCACGACATCCACTAGAATTCATCCTGAAAGCTTTTGGCTGCAAGCGCGTGGGGTGGCAAAGCTTAGACGGCGAGGCGGGCTCATACTGCAACGAAGATGACCCACGCATAACACATCAGATTGTCGATCGACCCGACATCCCGCTTCCCTCGCCTCCGCAAACCGACGACGAAGATGGATTCGACGATGGCGTCGACGATTCCGCTGCGATCAGAAAAGCGGACGAACGTGTTCCTGGAAGAATCTACATTCAGCCGCAGTGGGTTTGGGATTCGATCAATGCCGGACAGCTGCAACGACCCGATCTCTACGCCCCCGGAGCCACTTTGCCTCCGCATCTCAGTCCTTGGGTCAAGCCGAGACAAGGAGAGTACGATCCTACGAAGCCGCTCGCGGAGCAGGAGACAGAGGCCGAGGCTGCAGCTGCTGAGGAGGACTCCGAGGAGGAAGACGATGAGGAAGAAGGGGGCAGCGAGGGTGAAGAAGCCAGCGACGAGCAAGCCGGAGACCTGATTGATAAGCTCGAGGACAGAGATGTTGCGCAAGGCGAGGGCATGGACGTGGAATTGGGTGGAGAGGATGACGAAAACGAAAGCGAGGCAGACGCAGGTGCCCCAGAAGACGACTTTGGCGGCTTTTCTGAAGACGAAGAATCCGAGGACGAGGCTACGAAAGCGGCACGCGAACACCAGGCTGAGCTTGAGGCTGAGGCGCAGGGCAAGAAGGTCAAGTCTGCGGACCCGAAGGAGAAGAAGAAGCTGGCGAAGGTAGCTGCGCAGGCCAAGCGAACCCAGGCTGAGCGAGAAGCAGCAGAAGATCTGGAGCGGAGGAAGGGAATGATGCCACGCCGGAAGAGAAAGATGTACGAAAAGATGGTGTACAGTAATGCGGTGAAGTCGGATGAGGCCGAGAAGATGAGGGCAAAGCGACGAAAGGTTGAGAAGGAGTTGGCGAAGAAGGCGAAGGCGTAATTTGGCGATGCCTATCTACAATGAAAAGCGCATGTGCGTGCAGCGCAGGAAGGAGTCGGTTCCGATCATTGGTCAAGCCAAACCGTCTGCTTTCCAATTTCTCTTCCCAACCGCCTCGCGGCATTGCACCCTCACTGCGCTTGCAACCCTACCACCTTCGATCTTGGAACACCCCTGGGCCGATGCTCTCTGCACCATACGCCATCTCAATCGCATGCGCGGACTGCGGTGATATCGCAACTGCCTAGTCACCAAAGACTTTCCAAGCTCGGTACGCACACTCCCGGTCATCTCAATCAGGGTCAGAGCGAGAGCTAGAATCCGAGCCAATAAGTTCCCAGTCTTGCGCATCCTCGGAGGAGCCTGACGACTTCTCCTTCGCAGCATCTTGAGCCAAGGCCGATCCGTCAGCGTGGTCGTCGTTCTGTTCAGGTTCGTAGTCACTCCAGGAGTCCGAGCTATTGCCAGCGCCGTAGGCTTGCTCCTCTGGCAAATCGGTCCTGTCGATGATAACCGGAGCTTCCTCAAGTTGGTCATTTGCCACTTGCTCAGCGTGTTTCAACGCGTCATTTGAGACGTCTTCGCCCGCCGGCTCGGTCCTGCACCCCTCGAAGCCGTGGCCGAACAGTGCATCCTCGTCTTCAGCTTGCACCGATGAAGCCTGCGATGTACCCGCTGTCCCGTCTCGTAGCCATCCCTCTACGTTCGCGTGGGGCGATCGCTGAACATTCTGCGCATCCAGAGCTTGTTGGAAAGTAGGAGAAGGTGGTAGTTGATGCGAGGGGCTTCCGGCGCTTCTGTGCGGTGAGTTGAACTTTTCTTCAATGTCAGAGCGAAACAGGTCCGAGTATGTCGGCGTAGTGGGTAGATTGGTCGGTATCGAATGAATGTCGAAATTTGTGCCTGTAGCACTTGAGGGCGTTTCGTATGGTGGCGTTCCTTGATACGATCGAAGGTGGCGGGTGGGTAACATGGATCGTGCTTGCTGCTTTGGTCTCGAAGCGGCTTTGAGAAGAGGACGTGAGGGGAGCTTCGCGACTTGCGTGCTCGCTGCCTCGAGTGTTTGGAGGCTTCGTCGATCCATTTCAGCTGCTCGTGAGAGAGGTGCTTGGGTAGTTGATCGGGGGTTCTCGCTCGTTCCTTCGAGTCGCCTCAATTCCTCAAGGTGTTGATGGTAAAACGTGCGAATGCGGCGCTGCATTTGACGAGTGGTAGGCGAGAGGGAAGCTTCTCGAGTATCCGGACAAGGTACATCGTTCAGTGCTGCTGGGGCGGTAGCCGGTATTGGCGGAGGAGGTGCTGATGCTGGGCTCGAGAGCTGCTTCTTCTTGCGAGTAGTGCCTGTTTGCGTGGACGAGACAGCGGTAAAGCGCAACGAGACACGGAAGTCGACGCTCAAGAACGAGTCGTGGTTATCGCGCGCCATGTTGTCCTGTGTACTGTGTTGCGTAAGAGTGTGTTGCGCGTGAGTGAGCGTGTGAAGAAGTTAGTTGAGGCAGAATTTATAACATAGAAGCACTTGAAGTCAGAACTGAAGAGCTGAACGCGAGACTGAAGGCCGAAGTGAGCCTCTTCACGCCTGAACTCACGTCTAGGGCGGTGCTCAATTCACTGTAACAAGGCAGTGGCAGTGGCGTACCGTCTGCCGGCGCGCTGCCCACCGTGCACGCCATGCTGTATTACGGGAAGCCTATACGCAGAGTGCAGTGCGAGGAAGTGCTTGGTGTTCAAATGCTAGGTCGGTGTTAATGTGATGAAGTGAAGGCTGAAGGTGGAAGACAGATGGGGCAGAGCGGAGCGCGGGCCGGCGATCCGGACATCAGATTGAGCAGGTGAGGTCGTTGCAAGTCAAGGGCACAGTAAGCTCGCGGTATCCGCGTCTCCTGAAGCAATTACGAGCGCGTCATATCAACCATGTTTGCACCTGCTCGTGTGACAACGTTCACGTCGCCTGTGTGACGGCGTGCGCGCAATCAGGTAACCATCTTCACTTGTTTTCCTTTCCTCTTCTCTTCTTCAGCATCACTCGCAACTCACCGCCGCATTGACGTCCTCACGATGCCTCTTGCTGCTCCAGACTCGTTCGAGCTGGACACGAGAGACACCAAGCCTTTTCTCCGCCATTCCCTCGACTCCGACTCCAATTCCGAAGATGAGTTCGATCTGCCCAAGCGGTCGGCTCGCGGCTACACAGATATCGACTACGACGATGAGAAACACACTCCACGCGAACTAGAGCCGCCCGTATGGTCCAGCAACCAGCGAAGACGGACGGGATGGCGACGACTGATCCCCACGCGCTTCTGCTGCGGCCTAGTCTCGCTCTTCGTCGTTACCTTGGTCCTGCTCCTGTCAGCTGGGAGCTTCTGGGCTTACAAGGTCGTCCCAAAGCTCGGCCAGTCGCCGCCATGGTACCCAACTCCATTGGGCGGAACCGTAGAAGGATGGGCGAAAGCATACGAGAAGGCAGCGCGCCTTGTCGGACAGATGTCCTTGGTCGAAAAGGTCAACATCACAACCGGTACTGGCTGGCAGATGGGCCCCTGCGTGGGCAATACTGGCCAAGTGGATCGCCTGGGCTTTCCATCTCTCTGTCTACAAGACGGCCCTCTTGGTCTTCGATTTGTGGAAAATGCCACCAGCTTCCCAGCAGGCATCACCGTTGGGGCTACATGGAACAAAGATTTGATGTACCAGCGAGGAAAGGCGCATGGCTTTGAAGCAAGATTGAAGGGTGTCAACGTTCTGTTGGGGCCTTCAATGGGACCTCTTGGCAGACTGCCGGCTGGCGGACGCAACTGGGAGGGCTTCGGGGCAGACCCGGTTCTCCAAGGCATCGCCGCGGCACAAACAATTCGCGGCATTCAGGAGTCAGGTGTGATCGCGACAGCAAAGCATTTCGTTGGCAATGAGCAAGAACACTTTCGTCAAGCCTGGGAGTGGGGAACTCCAAATGCAATCTCATCCAACATCGACGATCGGACGCTTCACGAGCTGTACGCCTGGCCTTTTGCCGAGTCTATTCGTGCCGGAGTCGCATCGATCATGTGCAGTTACAATCAGGTCAACAACAGCTACGCGTGCCAGAACTCGAAACTAATGAACGGCATCCTAAAAGACGAACTGGGCTTCCAAGGCTTCATTCAAAGTGACTGGCTTGCTCAGAAGGCTGGTGTCGCTAGTGCGCTGGCCGGTCTAGATATGAGCATGCCTGGTGACGGCCTGAAGTGGCAGGATGGTATCGCCCTTTGGGGAGGCGAGTTGACGAAGGCCGCTTTGAATGGATCTGTACCAATGGAGCGGCTGAACGATATGGTTCTGCGCGTTGTCGCCTCTTGGTACCAACTTGGACAAGACGACTCCTCGGTTTGGGGAAACAATTCTCTGAGTAACTCCGCTACATTCAGCAGCTGGACAAATGAGGAACGAGGCCGCCTGCATCCTGGTGCTTCTGGAAACAATGACACCGATGTGGTGAACTATTTCGTTCCCGTAAGACAGACCGAAGAGGGTGGCGATCACGATGAAGTAGCACGTAAAATCGCCGCGGAGGGTGTTGTTCTGGTCAAGAACGAAGGGTTCACGCTGCCACTTTCAAAGGACGGCGCCAACTTCCGGCGTGCCGAATCTGATGGCAAGGTCAAGGTTGGCATCTTTGGAGAGGACGCATTCGCCAATCCGAGAGGACCAAACGCATGCGAGGATCGAGCCTGTAACGAGTGGACGTTGGGTAGCGGTTGGGGTTCGGGCGCTTCTCTATTCCCTCACCTCATCGCGCCATTCGATGCTTTGAATAAGACGTTTGACGAGGACAAGGTAAACATCACGGCCTACAAAAAGCAAGCTGCGAAGCATGCGGGTGCCATTGCAGAAAAGCAAGATCTGTGCATGGTATTCGTCACCGCTGACGCTGGTGAAGGCTTCTTGAGCTACGGTGACATCCGAGGAGATCGCAATGATTTACAGGTCCAAAAGCATGGCAACACGTTGATCGTCGAAGTTGCGAAGAAGTGTGGCGGCAAGACTGTCGTCGTCGTGCACTCTGTTGGACCAACTCTGGTGGAAGAATGGATTGATCTTCCTGACGTGCATGCGGTTCTCATGGCGCATCTTCCAGGTCAAGAGAGTGGCAACGCGTTAGCGGATGTCATATTTGGCCATGTGAGCCCGTCTGGACGTCTTCCTGTGAGTATCTGTCTCTGAATTCAAGGCCACTGAAGTGCATTTCCGATGATGCGGGGCAGTCGAAGCCTTATAGTGGCGGCTTGGAGCATGTGCTAACTATGATATTCACTTCTAGTATACGATCGCCAAGAAAGCAGAAGATTATGGCCCGACAAGCAAGATACTGACATTCCCGAACCACGTTGTGCCACAACAAAACTTTACTGAGGGCCTCTACATCGACTACAGATACTTCGATAAGCATGACATTAAGTAAGTGTGGTCGCTACAAAGCGTCGCCTAACGGCGTGAACTTGTCTCGGAAAATTTCGTATCTCCAGATGACTGACTATTTGATAGACCTCGATTCGAATTCGGATTTGGGCTTAGCTATACCGAGTTTGAACTCTCTTCACTGACCGCCGAAGTGCTTGGAGCGAGCAGCACCACGCCAGCGACTCGTCCTCGCGCAGCCGCGCATCCACCGCGTCTCGACACGACTATCCCTTACCCAGCCACTGCGATCTTCCCAGAAGGATTCAACAAATTGAAGAAGTACATCTACCCTTACATTGACAGGGACGACATCCCGCAAACAGGAGGTCAACCAGACTATCCACCCAGCTTCGACCCAGCAAAGCCACACCCACTTTCCGAGGCAGGCGGCGCCGAAGGCGGCAACCCAGACCTTTTCACTCCCGTCCTCGAAGTCTCAACTCAAGTATCCAACATAGGCGATTTTGCTGGCTCAGCCGTTGTCCAACTCTACATCAGCTACCCCGATAACGTCAAAGACCAAGATGGCGAGGTCGTCGATATGCCTGTCAAAGTCCTACGCGCTTTTGATAAATTCCATCTCGAGACTGATGGTGATGAGAAGCAGAAAGATGTGAAGTTCACACTGACGCGCAAGGACCTCTCATATTGGGATACCAAACTACAGAACTGGGTCATGCCGAAGGGCGAGTACACCATTTCTGTGGGCTTCAGTTCGAGGGATTTGCCATTGAAGTTTAAAGTTGATCCTTTTGCTGCGAAGGCGTGAACCGATCCCGACGAACTGGCCAAATGAAAAGATGTGTATGTGTATTTCATCTGGGAGAGCGGCGTTTTGGGTAGGGGAACTGGGCAAGCGCTGGTTCTGAGTACTGCTGGAAAAGCTTGTCGAAGCCCTGAGATAGAGCGGCAGTGGGACTTGTTCTCTGCCAAAAATGTGTATTTGTAAAATCGCGATACCTAGTATGAGAAGTACTGTATTTTTCGAGTGTTGCATTTTCTTTGTCTATCGGAACAGCGATAAGATAAAAGCACCGTTTCCTAAGGTCTGATACTGTACGTGGAGAAATTGAGGGAGTCAAGATGTTGACAAGATGTAAAGAGGTTCCATGTAATCAATTTCAATCTCGCTGATGCTTTCTACCATTTACTTTTTCCTTCATCCATCCATCGTACAAGTACAAGAAACTACAACCCAAAGAAAACAAAACGCTCGAGCCGCATCAATGCGAGCAATGCGATGCAAATGAAAATATGATGTCCTCTTTTTCCCCTCGAAGTGGCCATGCATCCAAAAGCAAGCTCCCTCGTGGTGTCCATTACCGCTTCTGTTCGTTCGCAGCTTTCAAATTGCTTCTCTCAATCGTTCATCATCGTCATGTTCAGTGTCAAGCGAGTCTAAGCTGAGAGCAAAGATTCATTCTCGTCCATGCCAATGCCACTGTCCTTGACGCGCTTCTTTCGCAGACGGCCTAGCTTGGAGTGCGAAGAGGCTGGCTCGACAGATGCTCGACCGTTGACGGTCGTGCGTGTTGTGGTCTTGGTTACGAGGGAAGAGACAGTATCCATAGCTTCCAATTCCAGCATTTGGGCATCGCCATCTTTCATCGTCTCTTCGGCCTGTTCGTTGATTCTCGCATGCGCTCGGTCGTTCTCATCCCGCAACACTCGCATCTTGGCTGTGGTACGTCGGACATACTCGGCGAATTTGTGTCGGAGTGATTCGTTCTGAGTAGTGAGTGTCGTGATGGTCTCCTCGGAAATCTCCGTCTGCTCCTGCAGAAGGCGAATATCTTCTTCACGAGCTTGAAGCACATCCTGCCAGCGTTCGTCGGCCTCAACTGCCTTTTGCTCAACGACAGCAATCTTAGCCTGCTTGTCGGCAACGACAGCTTTGAGATTTTCGATCTCGTCGCCCATTTCGGCTTGGACTTGCAGCATCTGCTCGGCTTCCTCTTCGACACGTCGCTCCAGGCTGGCCTTGTCTGCTTTCAGCTCACCAACTTGGCTGGTCAGTTCAGCGACATCATGGTTCAACTGAGCAATTCTTGAGTTCCGATCTTCGATCTCCGATGCGTGCAATGCCGATTCATCAACCGTGTCTTGTTGAAGAGTGGCGATCTGATCTTCGTGGGTGGCAATGGTATCCTGGAGAGCCGCGATGCTGCGCTCGAACTCTTCGCGATCATCCTTGTTGAGAGCGACCTGTGCCTCATACAGATTCTGAGTGGTCTTCAGATCCGCACTCAACTCCTCGATCTCAGCAGTCTTGTCGGCGACCTCCTGCTCGAGAGACAAGATGCGCTCGTCACGTTCGGCTAGGGTTTCGGCCATCTGTTTTTCCAGATCTGCGAGCTGTGCCTTGAGATCTTCGATGACCTCTTCGCGGTCTTGCAGGTCGCCCTCGACGACTTCGCGACGCTCAACCTCCTCCTTGATATCGGCTTGGTACTGTTGATCTCGCTCAGAGGCAAGCTGCTTAAGCTCCTTGACCTCTTTCTCGTTCGTCTGCTGCACTTGCCATAGCTTCTGTCGAAGTTCATTAGCTTGAGCTCCAGATTCTTGCAGCTTCGTCGTGAGTTCTGCGATTTCTTCTTGTGCAGTCCCGAGCTCCGCCTCCACGGCCTCGCGGTCCTTGCGCTCACTTTCGTTGAGTTCGCGAAGGTCATTGATCTGCTCGTTCAGATCGCCAAGCTGCTCTTCCAGACGGTCGACACGCTCCTCCAGGTTTTCCACCTCTACGTTTCTCTCCCTCACATCCATCTCAGCATCTTCACGGGCATCACGCTCTGCATCACGCTGCTTTGTCATGGCCTCGAGCTCCTCCTGCAACAGGTTGCGCTCTTCTTCGACTGCAAGCTTCTGTTCTTCCAGGCCGGTGATCATGGTCTGACGATCCGCCGCGAGGTTCTCGGCCTCCTCGCGAAGCTGATTCTGCTCCTCAATTTGTGCCTCAAGCCCGCTGACAGTCTCATCGTGCTCGGTCTTCATGCTCAGCACGTTTGTTGCATGCTCCCCCTCCATACGAGTGATCAGATCGGTCAGCCTCTGCTCCTCGGTCTGATACTTGGTGAGCGATGCGCCCAGCTTTTCGATTGTCGACGTAAGCTCAGCGTATGTGACCTCATACTCCTTGACACGCTTCTGCGCAGCTTCGAGTTCGTCATCCAAGGCGTCACGCTCATCCGCGATTTGGTCCATCTCTGCTTTGAGGTCCAGATTCTCCTCTTCGTTTCCGAGCTTCTCTTGTTCTAGTTCTGATTGCAACTGGAGCAGGCGTTCAGTCTCGATCTTCGCTTCGGCGAGATGGTCCAACAGGCGGTCCACTTGAGAGCTGAGACTTGCAGCAAGGTTGCTCTTCTCAAAAAGCTCCTTATCCTGCGTGCGCAGGCGCGCGGCAAACTCTTCAACATCTGCCAACAAGATCTCGAGCAGGTCTCCATTAGAGGCGTCCTCCGGAATACTACCAGGAAGGACGGTCTCAAGGCCCTCACGCACGGCCATGAAGCTTTCGCGAATGCTGATCAGAATGGATCGTGTATCTTCATGATCACCAAAGCCAAGAGCACGCAACTCAATCTCGAGAATCTGTAGCTTGGTCTTCGCATCGTTGGCTTGATTGCTGAGGGTCACGATGGCAGATCGGAAATTCTCTCGCTCGGTCTCCCAATCCTGCTCCTTGTTGCGCTGGGAAGTAGACTGTGAGAGTGACTGACGAAGTTTGACTTGGGACGAATCGAGCATGGTGGAATCGTGGGGAGCCTCGTTGTACGCGAACTCTTGCTGGCTCTCGAGCACGAGCATGTCGGGGTCCAGCTCGTCATCCTCGTCATGGGTGGTCAAGGCATCGAATGTGTGCTTTTGCTCTTCACGCAATTCTACCAACTCTGCGTCCAGCGTTTCGAGGTCGTCGCCCTCAAGAAGTGGTCGTTGTGCCTCTAGGTCCTTGATCCGCGCGTCTCGCTTTTTGTGGATCTGCAAGCGGTGTTGAATGCGCTCTGATAGCACAGCGCTGAGAGGTGCCATATTGTGTTGATCTACGGTGTAGTAATGCTCTCCATTCTGGAGTAGAGCAGCGGGGAGCGAGTGTCTCGTGGACGTAATTTTCTGTCTCTTTTCGCCCTCCTCATTGACGCCAGGAGAAACGGTAATACGGCGCTTGATGGACATCTTGCGTGGGTGCGGGGTGATGTGGAAGGCGGTGGTCCGGTCTCCTTCATCGTCGTCGTTCAGTGCCACCGTCTGTGACTGTCTTCCTGCTGGAAATTGTACTTCGTTGACGACACGACGAGTGGTCTCTGTCACAGTTTCGACTGCATCAGATGCAGCAGCATCGTATGTCGGACCCGTCTGCACATTCTCCACCTCCTCTTCTTCTTCGACAATCATCTCGGGCTCGACCGACGCAGCGGCTCGAGTTTTCTTTCTCTTCTTGGCGGGCGTCGAGGCCATGGATGGCGTGTTGATGCTGTGGCTGCTCGATGGGCGCTCCGACATGGGCTCAGAAGCATCGCTGGCACGTCGCTTGCGGCCAGCAGCTCGAGTTTGTCGCTGCTCTGCTGGCTGAGAGCTCGCCTGAGCGCGAGTTCGCTTGGGCGCCATGTCTCCAGCAGTCGGCGGTGGTGTGTGGTGTTGAGAGGAAAATGCACCAAGAACGCTGCAAGATCAAGAAGCGAAATGGCAAGACGAGAAGTGGTGTCAAATGCAGGTGGGTGGTTGGTGTGGCAGCAGCCAGTGACGTGACAAACGCGTTGCTCAAACTTGATTCCAGGTGTCTGGCGCCAATGATTTTCTCCGGCGTTTGGTGACGTGACGATCGACAGCTGTGCGATGCGATGCAACAGACAACGGCAGCGCGACGACGAGATCACAGAGATGGATAGCCAAGCGATGAGTGCGGAGTGAACAATGCAGAGCGTTGTTGGTTCATATCTGTCGCCGGAGTGGTTACCGCTTTAGAAAGTGACCAGTGCATTCAGTGAATGGGCACGCGTTCACGGTGAATGGCACGCGTGCACCTGACTGTCGGCACACGCGCGGACTCGTGCTACAGGCCCACGGCGCCATATTCGTGTCTCGTCAAACACGACAGAACGACCAGCGGGTGCGTATTGTTCTGCGTTGGTGGTAAAGACAGAAAATGAGCCGCCTCGCTCAAAGCGCCATGGCCAATGTTACACGGGTTCACGTGCTGTCGCATCCTCAATTTGCTATCACCGCGCCTCGCACGACAGTCGGCGACGCGACGGTACCTCCCCCACCCTGCCCATCTTTTGCTCCTTCTATGCCCAGACGGTGGCAAAAGAGGGCTGCTTGCTGCATATACCATCCGAGCAGAGACACTGCGCAGCGTCTCTCAGCGGCCATCCGTAGCTGATGGCCCGAACGCCGAGTGCGGAAGGGCGCCGCGTTCAGACACACGCGAAACGGGCAGCTGGCGATAGAGGGTCCGCTTCGCATGCTTCTCGAACGTTGCACAGAAGTCGCCTGTTTTCAAAATATGCACCATGAGCACGAGCGGCGTTCGCATACACACACATGGCGTGGGAGCTCTGCTGCTGCATCGTCATCCGACCCCGCCAGTCTGCTCTTCTTACGCCCGCCAGTCTGCTCTTCTTACGCCCGCCAGTGCACGTCGGCGCTCGACCGGCAACGTCTCCATGTACACCTCGATACTGCTCCTTCATGTAATATGTGCCCGACGACTGGCTGAGGATCTGCACGTCGTGCGGGAAAACAAGCTTGCCCCATGTGGCGGGGCGCCGAACTGTGACCAACGCCGCCGCCGCCGCCGCATCGCTCTGCACAGTGCACTTCTCTACTTTGTAGGGTTCGCTTGTCTGCGTGAAGCCTGTGCGTCCCATCTGTCATCCGCAACGTCCGCTGTCCACGTCGATCGTAGCACCATTTGATCGTTCTCCTCCTCCGACACCATTCACCGCGACCCTCTCGCCAGGCAGATTGAGACCGCCTTCACGTCCCGAAATCACCCACAGAACTCGCATCGTCGTTCACGGGATCTTCTTGAGCTTCGTCTGTCCACCGACACCGGCTCATTCCCTGCAGCACTGTCAAATGGCCTCGGACTGGTGACCACAAACCCGCTCCATCTTCTGGCCTGGCCACAGTCGCCCGTGCATGCCTAAACACCTCGCAGCCTGTACACGTCCGTACATGGTCAAGGCCAATGGTCATACCAGCCGCCAGTGGTGAGCAAAGCACGAGGCGAGCCGTGCAAGTATGACTTCGGACTATATCAATATTCCTGCTTCCGTCTACGCAGGCAGCCAGTCCGACAGTGACTATGGCTTCGACAGCGTTTCCAATATGTTAGACGGCGCCGTCGCCCAGCCCACCAATGGCTACACTTCAGCACCCGTGTCTGCCACTGGAGCTGTGCAGGACTTCTCCGCTTTCGACGATTTCATGCCCTCTCCCGCCTTGCAGACGACACGACACGACCAATCTCCCACTCTGGGACAGCAGGTCCACCGAGCGAGCATCGGCAGCAATAGCTATGGAGCACTAGCTAGGCAAGACAGCTACGCAGGCTCAGACACGACCAGTCCAGATGGCCAGAAGAATCACCCTACCTCCAACGCCGATTCATCCAACGATCCACAAATTGGCAACGAAGCTGCGCAGGGCACGGGTGGACCGACCGAGGACACAACACTGGGCTATCCGCCAGCATGGAGCGAGCTGAAGACGAAGGCCGGCAAGGAGCGCAAACGCTTGCCGCTTGCGTGCATAGCATGCAGACGAAAGAAGATACGCTGCTCGGGCGAGAAGCCGGCATGCAAGCATTGTCTGCGCTCACGCATCCCCTGCGTGTACAAAGTCACGACTCGAAAAGCAGCACCCCGAACCGACTACATGGCTATGCTGGACAAGCGACTGAAGAGGATGGAGGACCGGGTGATCAAGATCATACCAAAGGAAGACCAGAGCGTAGTGACAAGCACGGGCCGAGCAGTTGTGAAACCACCTCTACCTCCAGCTCTTCCCAAGGCTGGAGCGAGCACGAAAAAGAGGGGAGCTCAGGAAGCCTTCGGCGATGAGCTGGACGAATGGGCAGAAGGCAAACCAAAATCGGCCACGGGAAAGAAGGACGCGCCCAACGCCAAAACCGAAAAGCCAGCAACAGGTAATACAGATGAACAAAATCTGCTTCAAGAAGGGCTTGACAAGCTCCCCAGCAAAGAGCTGCAACAGCATCTTGCTGAAGTCTTCTTTGACTACGTATACGGGCAGAGTTATCATCTCCTGCACAAACCCAGCTTTATGCGGAAGCTCGCTCAGGACCAAGTGCCGCCTGTCCTCATGCTTGCCGTTTGCGCGATATCGGCTCGATTCTCGAATCACCCTGCAGTACGCACCGAGCCAGCTTTTCTGCGCGGAGAGGGCTGGGCGACGGCGTCACGAGAGATTGCGTTACGACGCTTCGACACTCCCAACATCACCATTTTGATATGTTACCTTATCCTGGGTCTGCATGAATTTGGTACATGCCAAGGAGGACGCAGTTGGATGTTTGGTGGCATGGCCCAGAGAATGGCATATGCTCTACAACTGCATCGAGACCTTGATCACGATCCCAAAGACAGCTCCAAGGGCGGGGAGAGCGAGCTCACTTTCACAGATCGAGAGATTCGGCGTCGGACGATGTGGTCTTGTTTTCTCATGGACCGCTTCAACTCGAGCGGGACGGACAGGCCAATCTTTGTCGGCGAGCAATACATTCGTGCGCAGCTACCGATCAAAGAGCGATATTACCATATGGAGATCAACGGGCCCACACAAGATCTCGAAGGAAATGTGCCGCATCCTGTGGATCCAGGTACGGGACAATTGGCCAACGCAAAGGAGAACATGGGCGTCGCAGCCTACCTCATCCGACTCGTCTCGATCTGGGGAAGGTTGATTGCATATCTCAACATGGGAGGCCGTGAGCGCGATCAGCATCCGATGTGGCATGATGAATCCAAATTTCAAGACATCAGACGGGCTACAGAAGCATGGAAAGACGCATTACCGGAAGAGTTGCAATACAGCGCAGAGAATTTGCAAAATCACGCATCGGAAAAGATTGCCAATCAGTTTTTGTTCATGCATATTGTGCACAACCAAATCTTGTTGTTCATGAACTCATTCGCGCTGCCCATATCGGGATCACCTCCAACACTACCCAAAGAAATGCCAGAAGAGTTTATCTCCACCGCCACGCGGACGGCGCTCGAAGCTGCGAATCAGATCTCGGCATTAATTCACGAAGCATCCGATCATCTTGTGGTTGCGCCCTTCGCGGGCTACTCTGCGTTCTTCAGCAGCACTGTTCATATCCAAGGTGCATTTTCCAAAAATGCAGCTTTGGAGGCGTCAAGCAAGCAGAACTTGGCGTGGAACGTCAAGTATTTGACCAAGATGAAAAAGTACTGGGGCATGTTCCATTTTGTCACAGAGAACCTGCGGGATCTCTATCGACGACATGCAGATGCTGCGCGATCTGGTGTAGCTGCCGGAAAGGAGGGCCACGTTTTCCAGTATGGCGACTGGTTCGATCGTTACCCTCACGGAGTCAGCGGCACTGATTACGAGGAGCCGAGCACAGGCGTGAAGAAAGAGCCAGGGTCGGATGCCGTCCTTGGGCAGAAGAGCGACCTGCAAACTGTAGAAGAGTTCTTTAGCAAACTGAGTCCGCCAAGCCGTGCTGCTCATATTGCCGCTCAGCAGCAAAGCGCGAAGAAACCAACCAAGAAGTCCAGGAAATCGGTATCAGAAGGGAACAAGCAAGCTCAGCCGTCTGCTAACCAGCAACAACCACAACAGCCGCAAGCGCAGGCACAGTCACAGGCGCAACCACAGTCGGGGAATCAGAACATTCAACCGCAACCGCCTTTGCAGGCGCAAGTCACGCATGATCTAGCCGCGAACATCAATGCAGGCTTCGCACAAAACTCCATCGCATACCCGCCCGGTTTCCAACCAACGCAAAACCCTCTCCTCATGACTCCAGCACCCCAACAATTCATGTCCCAACTCGACCGACAAATGGTCCTCAACTCCTACGGCAACCAAGACCTCGGCCAATCCATGTTCGACAACAACGGAAACTTGACATTCGACAATTTCGACTACAACAATTTCGCTGGCCCCAATAGCAACAACACCAATTCCAACCAGCAACAGCAACAACAGCAACAAACCAACAATGGCAACCAAAACGGTTTCTGGGGTGATCCTTCCACGGCGTGGTTCATGCCGTTTAATTTGGATCCGCCAACTGTTGGTGATGATAACAATTTGTTCAGTGGCGGGAATATGGATTGGTCCGGGTTCGCTGGTTTTGGGGACTTTTCGAATACTGCGGCTTCTATGGCGACCACTGGTGATGGCATGGTTGTTGATCATCAAGGTGGGAATATGGATTTGTCGGGGATGCAATGATCGCGAGACTTGTATATTTGAGGCTTCTTTGTACATCTGTGGAGTGTACAGGGAGATATCTGAGAATTGCATATGGATGAACGAATATGTACAAATGAAATGAATGATGAGGGGGTTTCAAATGGGCATTTATTGGTTCCTGCTTCCGTTTTCAATGTTGTTCTCGTCCTGTCACGTGGTTGTCTGGTTGGCTTCGACAAGGCTCAGAGCGGTCTGCTAGTACTGGGCAATTCGAGGCACATATACGCTTGGGAACGGGGCATCATCTCGCTGCGCTCTTACATAGATAGACATAATCGCAGCCTAACGGCAAGCTCTCTCTTATTGTGATATTCAACATGCTAATAACCGCACTCTGCCACTTGATTCAACGCCATGGTCATGCTCGCCCACTTCATTCAACGTGCGTATCAGTGTATCTCGGAGTCTACAATATCTCTCTTTCCCCCCTTGCATATCTTCCTCTAGCACGCACAATTTTCGCGCCTCTCGTCTTCCTCTAGCACACACAACCCTCCTTCGTCCCCGCTTCCTCGCGCGAGTTCAAATTAACACTATTGGCATTCTGCGTCCCACCCATGGCAGCTTGTGTTCCCGCACCAGCGCCCGCCCTTGGACCCTTCAAGCTCGTTTCTGGAATCGCATTGGCAATAGCAGTAAACACCTCACTCACATTGTGGCCTGTTTTAGCACTCGTCTCAAAGAATAGCAGACCCTCTTCGTCTGCATATGCCTTCGCCTCTTTACTGCTAACTTTCCTCACACTCCCCGAACCCTCCTCATCTTCCGCACCACTTTCCCCTCCTTCTCCAGATTGCTCCCCCTCAGGCGCATCATCTTCGCATAAATCGAGTTTATTACCGACTAAAGCGATGACGATCCCCGGTGAAGCTTGACGTTGAAGTTCGGCGACCCAGTGTTTGGCTTTGACGAGACTACTGGGTTTTGTGATATCGTAGACGACGAGCGCGGATTGGGCGTTGCGGTAGTACATTGGGGCGAGGCTGGCGAAGCGTTCTTGGCCTGCTGTGTCCCAGATTTCGAATTTGATGGTTCGGGAGGGGAGTTGGCATTTTTGTGTTAGGAAGGCGGCGCCGATGGTGGGCTCTTTGTTGGGTTGGAAGTCGTTGGAGACGAAGCGGAGGACGAGGGAACTCTGTAGGCAGCCGTGTGGTTAGATGTTGTTGAGGTGCTGGCGTAAGGCGGAGGGATGGAGATGGGTTTACCTTTCCTACTGCGGCTTCGCCCAGCAGCACAAGTTTGACGCTGCTGCTGGGCTTGGGTGCGCCTGCTGCTGCGTCGGCCATGGTGGACGGTGAAGAGGGCCGATTCGCGCGCAGGCTTCTGCCGATGTTGTAGTCGCTCGTTTTGGCGGATGTTTCGGTGGACGGCGGTGTCAGCTATTCGCTCGATTCACTGCTGCGGATAGACGGCGATATGAGGTTGGATGGTGTTGTGATGGTTGTTGAGAGGTGAGAGTTCGCAGTGAACAGGCTGTCAGTTGGCCGCTTCCGAAGATCCGTGCTGAGCCCTGACGTTTGCTGTTGCTCCAATCCATACTTGCCCGCTCTTTGGAGCTCTACCACGTGCTGCATGTCTACAAGGCATTGCATTTCACATCATGAACATCATCGACATCTTTCTCACGATACACGTGATCTGTACGGAAGACCGAATGCTGTAGTGACGAGTGGTGATAGGCGACTGCAGTCGACGTGATTGGACGTGGCTTGGCGGCTGCGCAAGACATTCAAACCACCCTGCATCCATGAGATGTCTCTGCCATGTCGCAGCCATCGTGTCTGCGCCATGGCATTCTTCACGCCCTCAAACGCACACCAAGTCTTCTCCTGCTGACCGCATCAAGTCGTGCACCCGAGGGCCAATACTCGGCGTCGACGGCACTGCCACCCAATGCCCCTACGCGCGAGAAGAAGTTGGCCTGGAACATGGGCAAGTGCTCCCTACATCTCATTCCGACTTCATGCCGAGCAATCAACATTGAAAACACGCGGCCAACACGCGATGCCCCCATCCGTCTGCTTACGGCGGATATCGTATCGACTAATTCCGGCACAGTGTCTGAGGATTTACGAGCGCAGCCAAGCAAGCCTGCGCGACGCAATCATAGGGTGGAAATCCCTTGAAACGTCAAGTGCAGCAAAAGGCTTACGACTTCCGGTTGTGATTGTGCCTGAAGATGGTGTGCGCCGTCTCCGCAGAGTGCACAACAGGATGGCCAGAAGGGTGGCGGAAGTAATTCTGGACAAACGGTGGAGACGTCGTTCAGGTCGTCACATTTTAGATCGGTATCGTAGCCCAGGTGGTCGCGTAAAACGGGTGCTTCGTGTCGTTCATATTGAATTCACCGGCTCGTTGCGTTCATCATCGATTCCAAGAGATAGTCGCGAGCATCATTGTTTCCAGCTCGCCAGCGATTCAGACCTCCCACGTGCGTGCCCTCTTCCACTTGTGCACTGGTTCCCTTCGTCGCATGGCCTTGCACGGGGCAAGTCTTGAACATGATGCATCGCACGCCTTGCCGCGCGCGTCTTCGTGCGTGGAGCTGGTAGAGACGGAAAAACCGTTGCAATGAGTGTCACGACCCATCAAAGTAGACGTTTCACTACACCGGGGCGCTGTTGTAGCGAGACCAATCAGTGTGCGATCTGCGCCTTATGCATGCCTGTTCCTGACGAGCTGTGACGCTACTGGATTAAGCGACGGAGTCTATCGCCCTCTGCCTCTTACTCCTGACCCGGCCCGTCCGCGCTCGACGCCAAAGGAGTCTGCGTATCGGGCGTGGCAGCGGAACATCGCAAGAGGCTGGCAGGCGGTCGTCAGAGCAGGCGAGCATTGCGTCGGCGTCGTGTCCCATGCAGAGTGTGATGCGAAGGGGCCTTTCTCAGGTTAAGAGCACTTCCGCCACGGCCGCACAAATGCCATCGCTTGGCTGGCCCACATTCATTAAACTCCTAGCCCGCTGAGACGTCGCTTGGATCCGCTGCTGTCTATTCGCAACCATCCTTGGGCGCCGCGCCCAGCCCTCTCTCTCCCTCTCTATGCTCTGCGACTCCGCAGAGACTTCCCACCGCGTTGCAGCTCGACACAGCACACCTCTCGCCCTCCTTATGAGACGCTGGCCGTGAACCTTCCCGTCCTTGATCTGGACCGCCACACGCTCGTTTGCACCTCACGCGCCACGCACAACAACACTGGTGTTGGAGCCGCTTTGGCTCGCATGCTGCTTGGAAATTGCGTCGCGCCATCAACAACATAACGCATTTCAGGCACTGAGAACCTACCGGGCCCTTCATCAGTCACGATACCACCCCAAAGCTCGTGCTGGCACGACCTAGTCATTCACTACAAACTCTAGCTGCTCTCATGCACGGCGACTGCCTCGGACAATAACCCATTGAACTACATTGCGCCGTTTGCCACGACTGCGCAACCCGCATCGCCGACTTTCTTTTCTGGAAACCCCGTTGACGCTCATTCGACATGATCTCTCCGGTATGGCTGCTGCTGGCGGCCAGCCCGTACGCTATGGCAGCAGGCGGCGGTGGCCCGCCAAGTGAGAGCGAGAGGCTGGCCAGCTTGCTCAACGATAAGATGATCAAGTATACCGGAGTGACCTGGGCCTGTATCATTGCGACCTTACTTGTCTACCACTGGACGATCAAGTTGCTGCACCATGTCCGCCAGCTCGCCAACTTGAACCACGGCACATCGAGCGACGGCCGCCAACGATACTTCAGTCTTCCGGACGAAACATGGTCGCGCATTAAGCGACACTTCATCATTGCTCCTCTGTTCAGCCGGAGACACAACCGCGAATTCCGTCTGTCGGCTGCCGCTAACGTCGGTATCCTGCCAGGCCGCATGCAATCATTCTGGCTGTTTGGGTACCTTGCCCTCAATGTCGTCTTCACTGTCTGGAAGATTAACTGGAACGACAAGGAGGCATTCATGGACCAAGCTTTGAGCCGTACCGGAGTGCTCGCGGTGTTGAACATGATCCCACTGTTCCTTTTGGCAGGCCGCAACAACCCCATGGTCTGGTTGATGGGAATCTCCTTTGACGACTTCAACCTGTTGCATCGCTGGATCGGCCGTATCGTCGTCCTGGAGGCAACCGCCCACGCCACATTTTGGTTTGTGAAGAAGGTGGTCACATTGGGCGCGGAGAAGGGCAACGCCGCCATCGCAGGCGCCCTGGCAAACAGCGAATTTATCCTGACCGGAACCATCGCATTCGCTGCCTTCGCCGCCATCCTCCTCCAGTCGCCATCGATTGTGCGACACGCATTTTACGAGACTTTCCTGCATCTGCACATTGCGCTCGTCATCGTCTCTGTTGTTACTGTCTGGATCCACCTGAAAGGCAGGCCTGCTCAGATCCTCGTCCTCGGAGCTCTGGTCTGCTGGATCTTCGAGCGCTTGGCAAGGGCCTACCTCTTGATTCGCAACAACCTCAGCAGGAAGCGTCGCACGAAGATCGAGGTCGAGGCACTTCCTGGTGATGCCATGAGGGTCACCATGCACATGGCTCGACTGTGGAAATTTAAGCCCGGTCAGCACATTTACCTCTACATCCCTAGCATCGGAATGTGGACCAGCCATCCTTTCTCGGTAGCCTGGAGTGACGAAAGCACCGATGCCGCAGCCGAGAAGGGCCTACCCATGGCCAGGCAAGACCTCTTTGCGGCAAAAACCACATCCATGTCGCTGATTATTCGTCGACGTACTGGCTTTACCGATACTCTCTGGCGCAAGGCCGAGGCGGCGGGACCAACTCCAATGATTACTACGGGCTACGTTGAAGGGCCTTATGGGAACGAAAGCTTTCAGTCGTATGGTACTGTCATGCTGTTCGCCGCAGGTGTTGGTATCACCCACCAGGTCCCACACGTGCGTGACCTTGTGGCTGCTTATGCCAACGGAACAGCAGCCACACGGAAGATAGTTCTCGTCTGGACCATTCAGTCGCCAGAGCATCTCGAGTGGATTCGACCTTGGATGACTCAGATACTCAGCATGCCGAAACGCCGAGATATTCTCAAAATCTTACTTTTCGTGACCAGGCCACGCAGTACAAAGGAGATTCACTCGCCCAGTGCCTCAGTTCAAATGCTGCCCGGAAGGCCTTCTTGCCACGATTTAATCAGCAAGGAGCAGCAGACGCAAGTGGGAGCAATGGCTGTGAGCGTATGTGGCACGGGGGCCATGAGTGACGATGTGAGGAAAGCAGTGAGAGACCACTGCGAGGAAACGACGATTGACTTCTTCGAAGAGGCCTTCACCTGGTAGCCCGCCTGAAAGTTCATGTTGTTATGGTCGACGGCGCTCGGAGGTGTCCAGCGGAGAGCGTTTCACGAAATTTCGTTTTCCTTTATTTTTGCATCAGAGGTCAGAGCACCTAGCTTCATAGAACTACGTCAATCGGACGTATGTATATCTACTTCGCAGACAGCCGTCAAAAGATTGCTGTCGCTAGGAATAAACACTATCCCATGTGTTTTGTGAATAACTCATATCTGATGTTTGTGCCAAGCAATGCCAAGACTATGTCACGAGACCAGCCCGTGAGCCATGACCGCAGCCACTGCAAGTCACCAATACCAATACAAGACAAACAACATATACCCTAAGTCGGCGATTGTGCCATGCCACAATTACAAGACGCTTCCACGCAATCAAGAATGAATGCACGGAGGGTTTTAGCACCAACAGCTGCGTGGACTCGATCTGAAACACCGAAGCAGAAGTTGTACAGCAATTCCACCGTGACTGCCTCGCCTCACATCACTTGCAGGTGTGCATGGCGTACCTAGCAAAGAATGCGGCAGTTTGAGCATCCTTACGAATTCATCCACTTTGAAACAATGCTATCTTCAATGCGGGCCTGACGAAATCACCTCACAGAGGTGAGCTCGAGCACGATTCAGAGTTCACAGTCCTTGGCCAATGTGGTGAAGGTCGTCATACAATATCAAGATGACTCCGCGAATTCGAGTAACAGCGCATCTGGGGCGCTGTCACCAACAGTCCCCTGAAGTCGTTTCAGAATAGCGAAGCAGAAGTGCAGACGTTTCGGTCAGCCTTACCTCTAATCAACAATATCAATCACATCAACTTTGGAGGTTGTGTCCGTTCGTGCTCACGGCTTCGGCTTTCATCACCAGCTTCAGTCAAGGTCTCAACAACACCACAGGGTCGAACCTCCCAAAACCCGCGAACAACCCCAAGACAATGGCACCAAGACATACCGCGAAGTGTTTGCTATTCCTGCAAAAGCTGGACGCTAGCTACCGCAGAGCCAAGACGAAAACACTTCTTGGACAGTGCGGTGACAACCACAACACCATTCCAAATTATTTTCACGGTTGTGGTTACGAGGAGGGCCCTGCCTTCACTGCACGCGTGACATCTGTGAAGAATGCCGAAGCAGAGGTCAGGAAGCATTACAGCTTCAGTCAAGGTCGCAATAACACAACAGGGTCGAACCTCCCACAATCCCGCGAACAACCCCAAGACAATGGCGCCGCGGCATCTCGAAAAGTGTTTTCAGCTAGCGGAGGAGCTAGATGCGGCTTACCTGAGAGCCAAGACAAACCGCTTGCTGGGTCAGTACGGCGGTGATACCGTACTAAATCACTTCCACGGTTACGGTTGTGCGGATGGCGCTGAGGTCAGGGGTCACGTCGCTTCGGTCAAGAACGCTGAAGCAGAAGTGCGTCAGCACTTCGATCGCGGCTATCTCGTCTCGGTCGCCGATGTGTATGGTGCAGTTAGCAACAAGCTGGACCCCAAGGCTAAGAAGGAGCTCGCAATGCCAGGACGCCAGCACGCCTTTTGAGGTTGACCTTTTGAGGTTGACCTTTTCAGGTTGACCTGGAACGTGATGCAGCACCATCTTGAGGATGAAAAGCACATTATCAAGCTATGCGTGCACCAATAGCACCAACTATCGGCAAGTGTGATCCAGCGGACCACCGGCAGGGTCACCCTTCGCTCTCAGAGCCAGCACGGCGCAGAGCCGGCTCAATGGTTCAGAGTCAAGCTGAACCCTACGTGCAGCAAGTTCCCCAGATGAACAGGGAGACACTGCCCAGGATCACAGTCAAGACTGGAGGTAACACGAAATGTGTCGATGCTAGGCCACACTCCCGTTTGGAGGCATTCTATCTTATCTTCGATTCTGCCCCAGCCTACGTCACGAACCTCGTTCTCGGTCATGTCAACGACGCCTACGGTAGCGAGAACATGAACGGCGGCGGGCCAGAGGATACCTCGTTGGCAAAAGCTTGTCGAAGCTTCGATCGCTACAAGTTTGGACTGTTGATGGAGGACGCATTCTGGTGCAAGCACGCCCTCTTTATGCCGAGACTGCTCCTGCTTCTGTCTCATCTATGTTGACTCCAAGCTCAGGAGATTCCTTCTTGGTGGCTCTGACACAGATCGCCAACCTGGAGACATCCGTAAATTTTGTCTGATCTCTCCGTTCCAGTCTGCCACGCATCTGGATCGGAATCCTTACTGCGAAAGGCTCAGACTTGACACGAATCTCAGAACGACGCTGGCCCCATCTATTTCTGATTTCTTCTCTATGGTACTGGGCTCCCATCTTGCTTATTTCCCTCTGTCGGCTCGACACAGCTGTCTGCTGAGAGAAACGTGCAGGTTGCCCAGCCTTACCGTCTATGGCAATAGCGCCACCGTCCATGACGATCAAGGCGATGTAATGATGGCTCTTGAACATGGCAAGTGCGTGCAGACGGTAAATGCCCTGCTTTGGCATCGTCCCCGCAGAAGAGGTCTCGGAATGAAGTGACTTGTGACCAGCGTACTGGTCCACGTCCAGCAGTTCTGGAAGATCGACTTGACACATCCGCTGCTCTCCGAGACCCACCTGTTCAACGCGAGCGTGAATATCGTTGGGGTGAGCGCGTCGAACCATGTCCGGGCTCCGCGGATTGTGCTCTGAATCAATGAGACATTCAAACCCGTGCTCTAGACGCTCTTGTGCCCAATCCAATATGAGGACATTCATTGAGAACGTGCCATCGCTAGAGGCGCCCGCTGGGAAGTGAACATCGAGAACGTTATCCTCCTCATCCGACCGGTTGATGCCGTGGCAGCCAGGCTCGCCACACCTCGTTCCCTTGACCGCCAACACGTTCGTCACGCCCTGCATGGCGCAGAAGCGACCCGAAGCACTATGTGCTGATGCACGTGCTGCAGCTGCGGCGGCTAGGTGTTACATTTCCCCTTGTTGCAGCTGGGCTTCTAGATCGACCGGAAGCTCTGTCAGTTTTCACGATACCAAGGCTGCAGGTCATCACTCGCCCTGACAGTCGCTTCGATGAGCACAGCAGAGACTCCTCGAGCCTCCTTCATCTCATGCGCAGTGTAATGCTGATCAACGCGCGGCATGATCGTCCAGAATTGTTGGAGCATTGGCTTGGGTGTTACTCCGCCTTGGCCGATGGTGGCCCATTCCTTCTCGATCGGAACGGCTGGCATCTTGTTCACGAGCTCCACAACTTGCGTACCCAGCTTCCTGGCACTGGCGAGGTCCGGGCACACGTGCAGATCGATACCGTTCTTCTGGCGGCGGCCTGCGTTACCATTGGGGGTAGCTTGGCTTTTGACATTCCATCTTTAGTGTATATCCTCCGGAGACAGTCTGTACTAAGAACATCGGCCACTTCATTGACCTCAACGTGTTGTACTGCCCTCCGAGACCCATTGTGCCGCCAGCTGCATAGGGGCCAATGAACCGACCACCTTTACTGTGCTCGTTCCATCCGCTCTCGAATTGCGTCCAGTCCAGATTGGGATCGTACAAGACGAGAGACACAGCCTCCACGAATGACTTGATCTCGTTGTAGTCTCTCATGTCCGAGACCCATTCTTGCTCATTCAGCGGCGCTGGCACCTTGTTCACCAGGCTTGTTGGACAGACCGCGCTTGACCAATCTGTCGAAATTGTACAACGTTCGATCGCGTTTTTGGCCGTACTGCGGCAGAGACTCCAGTACGAGGCTTGGAGGAAGACTTGGGGGAGCCGACGCCGGCGTCAGAGCACCAGTTTTCTTCTCTGATGCTTTTCGAAAGGTACCGCCCACCTTGGCTGCCTTGGGAACAGGCTCATCGGTGACAGCGCTCTCGTCTTCCGAGTCCTCGATGATGATCCTCGTCTCCGGCCATGTGAGCGTTGAGTCGTTGCAATTCGCTGAAGCTGGGTAACTCGAGGACGCTGTGAAGTTATCGTCGTCCCAGTCGGGGACATTCTTTGGATTGCGGCTGGTGCATCCTTCGTGGACGGCATCACCAGCTTGTGAGTTCACGTCAGGAGCAAATGCATCATTGCCATATTGTCGACCGGCGCTGCCCCAGCAGGTCGCGGTTTTGGCGAGTACATATTTTAAGGTGGGCACTCTGACTGCACCGAGTATCTGACACCGAGCGCCGGAGAACATACGGTCTGCTCGTGGGCCTGGATCACAAACTCGTACAGGAATGTCTCAGGCGACTCTGCTTTTCAGGCTCATTCTGGGGGTCATGGGCTTCATCAGCAATCCGGGAACGCGACACCGTCTCGCCGAAGTCGAGTGTAAACGAGCAGTCGCGCGCCAGTGCCTTCACATACCTGAAAGAATCGTAGAGCGACACGCTTTCCACTCTATCACTACTCCGCTGCGTCGATATTTCAATCACCGACACTATTCGCCTCTCTGACTGTCTTGCATTGCTTCGATAGATCGAGAACGAAGCCGCATCTCAACGGGCCATCGGCGATGAAAGTTTTCCCTCCCTCCGAAGGACTGAAGTGCTGCAGCGCTTCGAGCTTGTTCGATGAGCTCCGTAGCGCACAATGGCGTTGCCTAGTCGCATCGAGACAAAGGTTCGCGTAGAAGTTGTGGTGACAGTGGCGTAGAGCTCGGTGCCAGAGAGCTGACCTTCCGCTCTGATACTTTTCGAAAGGTGGCCCCTGTCCCGTCCTGGCTATCATGGTGCAAGAGTCATCACTAAAATCGCCCTCGTCGCAGAACCTTCTCGTCAAGCCTGCGCGAGGTATTACCGCTCGGGCTGCGAGCCATTTGGGATTCCTGAAGGTGGCTCCTCGAGTGAGATCTGGAGCATTTGAGAGATCGCACAAAGCTGTGGTGCGAGAGTCTGAGTTGTTGGCCTGTTTCGAAGGAGCTTCCGCAGCAGTGCTCCTATTTGCGGTTGTCTCTGACCATGGCTCAGATCTGGCTTGATGCGCTGGCTGCTCGAGGCATTTCTGAAGCCATCATTTGACCCTACAAAAGAGTCGTGTAATGTGAGGACGCGGTAAGACGGGTTGAGCTCTCCTTGCGGCAGATGGCAATTTCCGATCCTGTTCCACGTCAAGTGAGCAAGTGAACCCATCAGACGTTCCTGCTAGTTTTGACAATGGCTCAGTTCCAGCTTTGCCGCAACTCAACCACCTTCTACCCACCACCTATAGCGAACATTCTGCGAACCTCAATCGTAGCACTTTTCGTTCACTGGCAAGCACAATGCCCGAAGGTACCAGCACAGCACCATCCACGCACCAGGATGCGAATTGAACAGTTCAAGAAGCTTACAGCTTCTACAATGCCGCAGATGATGGCGAGGGACTTGCGCGGTTCATCAACGTTGCAGAGGCTGTCCTGGAAACACACATCTCCCCTATAGATCGCATCCGGCTCCTGACATTGTTGGGAACCGCAGTAGCCGATCCACGTGAGACCGCCATATCCTACACGCAAGCCGAGTCGCAGTGGCAAATCGCCAGGTTATACCAGAATTTGATGCAGGGCGAGACTAAGGCGAAAATGCACGAGCTTCGAAATCTGATTGACCAGCTTGGCGACGTGGTCCACCGCGAGCATCAAGCAGCCAATGGGAGCGAGGGCGAGGAGGATGATGAGAGCGATGAGGACAAGGAATTCGACACGGCTGAGCAAATGGGAGTCTCTCCAAAGTCTACACCATCCTGAAGCACTTCGGTCGAGCCGCCGAGCAACGAACTTGACAGCGCCTCCAAAGCACCCTTGGCCTCTACTACTCCAGAACAACAGCTAGTCATACGGATGAGATAACTTCTGAATGACTGATTCTTGAAGATTACTGGCACGATGACGCGAAGCCTAGCAAAGGCCGAGGATGTCTGGACTCGGAGACCAGGTAGAAGCTGGTCGTCGGGAGTTGCTATACGCGACGGACAGATTCGCATCATCTAGGATATCGTCAAGTAGCATCGCGATCTGCCTCCGGTCTGGGCCGCAAGATTTGGAGACTGTGAAAGGAGCAAAGACACAGGGAAGTAGAAGCAGAAGCAGCGCAAAGAGAGTGACTAGGAGCATCAAGAAAGGGAAGTGAGAGATATCTGGTGCCAATGACTCAGCACGCTTCCATCAAGATCGTAGACGACGCTACACTAATACGATACTTGGCCACGTCGTATTTGGAGCAAGAAGGTGAGGTGAGGTATAAGATGCCAAGTATCGTCGCCAATATCCACATTCTATGCCTCTCTCATCTGCCTTGATCACATGAACGCATCAGATAGTGTTAAGCCTTGTGTCCTCGGACCGTTGCTTTGGTGGAAAAGCAATGCTGATGTTGTGCCGTAGAGCACTCGAACTCACAATCATGAAATTAGATTTATCGTGATAGACACAGAATTGCGTCAAAGTGAGATTGCATCAGTATGTTCGATTCCTCTCTCTTTCATCTACACCACTGTAAACCTTACTTCTTATGCTTATCGGCATCTTCCTTCATCCCCTGCTGAATCCAAGCTCGAGCTTCAGCAGCCTTCTTCTCCATTTGCTCCTTATCGGCCAGCAATTCCTTCATCTTGTACGGATCAGGAATATTAGCTCCCTTCTGGACTGCCTCGCGAGCCCACATCCTCTCTTCCCAAGCCTTCAGTGTTGGGAACGCATCGATATCGATTCCTGCCCAGCCACCAGCAGAGATCCAGCCCCAGTGAGCGATATCTGCAATCGTGCACTTGTCGCCAACCAAATAAGGGGTCTTTGCTGACTCAAGATGCTTGTCTAGGACCCCATAAAGGCGGCGGGTCTCGTTCTGGTATCTGTTGATCCCGTATTCGATCTTCTCTGGGGCGTATCTGGCGAAGTGGTTCGCTGTTACAGGTGAGTTCCTGATCAACGTGTAACGATTGGACTTCAAACCGACCTTGACCTTGCATAGGCCCGACGCCTGCATTCATGAAGAACAACCAGTTGGTCACCTGTTGAAAGTTTGTAAGCAGACGCCCTGTCACACTGCTGAAAAGAAAAGGCTATAATACCTCGACATGTTCACGACTGTCACGAGGGTAGCTGATCTTGTGCTCGGTATCGTAACGATCAACCAGGTATTGCATTATCGAACCAGACTCAAATAGTCTGATAGGCTTGCCATCGGTGAAGGTGTCCGTGAGTGCAGGGATGCGACCTAGTTGAGTATAAGTATGAGAGCAGAGAGCGACTAGGACAGCTGCATTTACCATTGGGATTGATGTCTAGAAACCATTGTTCTTTCTGGGTGCTGCAAATGACTTAGTCCGGGGCAGTGAGTAACAAGAGCGAACGAGCCTACTTCTTGCTAATGTCGATCTTCGTCCATTCGTATTTCAAGCCCAACTCTTCGAGAGTGATGGAGATCTATATACAATTAGCCCTTATTTGGTCTTCCAGGATGCTGTGATTTACCTTGACGCCGTTGGGCGTTTGCGTAGTGTATAAATGGATGTTCGACATTTTAGCTTCAAGGAGGTAAGATGGACGAGCTGCGGAGAGCCTTCTTTCAGATTTATAGGTTAGTCGGCAGCCTTTCTCGTGTTTGTAATTGTTGAACGTGAAGCTGCGTGCTTGGAAATCATGGCGGGGTCACATCATGTCGATCTCGAACCAGCCTGGGCGGGAACATCACACTCACACCCTCCACAACACTGCGTTGAACAAAAAATCTTCAAAAACCACAAGCCATTCGCGCCGGTGGTGAGAGTGTAAGTGAAGAAAGAGCAGCAGGCTCATTGCACACCGACCGTACCAAGTACAGAAACCCAGCTTCTCCATTTTCGCATCTTGATTGAACTTTTTCGCGCTTTCTTTCATTTGAACGACACAACAATACGATGGGCGCACCAACTACGTCGCGAACTCCCCTCCCACCGCCCTCGGCTCTCCAGACCTTGCTGGCCAGATATCCTCCGCCATCGGGCTCTTCCTCCGACCACCATTTCCTAGCGATCCAGATTGCTCACAATTTGCATTACCAACACCTCTGGACACAAATTCAGCTCCACACGCACTCGCCCACGACCGGGGCCGCACTGCCTCGGCCTATCCTCTCTGGTCTCCCGCCTCAAAGACTCTACGTTCACCCCGACGAACAAATCGAACTTCTGCAGAAACAAAAAGATGAAGGAAAGAGCGGAATGCCAAAGTTATCGCGAGAAAGAGAGTGGGTGCTGCCAAGCCATTTGAGAGAGCAGTGGAGTTTAAGGAGGTTCGGCGAGATCTTTGACCACATTGAGGCTGTACCGAGCACGAGAACAGGTGCTGGAGGCAAGTCACAGTCACTGTTTGGAGAGTTAAACGGAGACGAGACGGAACTGGTGGATGAGCTTGACGGAGTGGACGATGCAGCAGGAGAGGGAGAGAATGTGAACAAATGGAGGGTCAACATGCCCAAGAGGCTGCTGCTATCGACTGTAGATGATGACAGTACTGTGGTGTACTACATCGTGCACGACGGCATCGTAAAACCGAGGCAGAACTGAGCAGACCATGGCCCTGGACGATGCATATGCAACGCGGGAAATTGAGAAAGGTCACGACTTGTGATGACAAGGCGGTATAACAGCCGCGCCCAGTGCCGTTGCAAAGATGAAACACGCTCATTCCGGCTCTTTGCGGACAATGGGCAAGATGGATACGACGAATACGACGAATACGAAGCGTGCACAACCTCGAAATCGGGCACGAAAGACGTGCAAGCAGAACGTTGCGAGATCAGCAATGGCGAACAAGCTTATGCATCGGCTCCCTCGACTTCCGCGTATGTACTCGCCCAGCTGCCAGCATAAGTCTGCCCTAAGTCGCTGCTGAGCGCGACGACAATATTTTCAAGAGGCAGCTAGGGTTGTTCCGCATAGCATGGCTGTTGAGCACCACGCTCCGTATCGCCATATAACATTCTGGCCGAGGTGACGAAAGGGAACGCCATTCAGACACGCAAGCATTACTAGCTGGCCCAAAATGCCTAGTACTATCGCAAGATTCCCGCCACAGGTCAATACTCAGCTCAACTATCATCACGGGCATCGCAGTGGACCGACCTCTTTTCTTGCAGGAACTGGATCCGACAAGAGGCGCACGTGGGACGTCCGCTCCGTCACTGTCCATGACATACGGTGTAGTGGTGAAGACTTCACGCTCGATAAGAATGGCTTTCAGTTGGTAGAACACGAAAGCTTTGAGAAGTTGTTCGAAGACCCGAGCGAGTTCAAGCATCCGGTCTATGCAGAAACTGCTGAGCTTCTCCAGCAAGTGTAAGCATGCCGTAGTCTGTGGGATACGAGCATTGCATTCATGTTGACATCGTACATAGCACAGGAGCCACTCACGTAATTCCCATATCACACGTGATCAGACGGGAAACACATGAGTTCGTGACGGAGAAAGCCAAAGAATGTGGTGATGACGAGCCTGTCAACGCAAGCGGACCATCGATGCATGTACACGTTGGTGAGTTCATTCAACCGACACAGGCACAACGAGTCCTGATTGGGATTAGATCAGAGTTACGACGGCGCTGTCCAGCTTCTTCGTGACAACGTCGAAAACGCCGAAGCGTACGTGAAGAGCCGATGGGCAGTAATCAATGTGTGGCGTCCGGTAGCACAGCCTGTCACGCGCGAGCCGTTGGCAGTCTGTGATAGTCGTAGCGTGGCAGAGGACGATCTGCGGCCTATGATGGCCATACTTCCAAACTTCACGGGCTCATCCAACACTGTCACCAAAGGCAACGGATTCGAGCTCTGGGAGGTCGCTGCCAATCCCCAGCATCGGTGGTATTATGTTTCTGAAATGACACCTAATGAAGCCTTGTTGATTAAGTGCTTCGACAGCAAGAAAGACGGAAGAGCACGGCGATGTCCACATACAGCTTTCCAAAGCGAGTTTGATAGCGGTCCCGCAAGACGAAGTATTGAGATTCGCTGCTTAGTCTTTTGGGAGGATCAAAGCACCGAGTAGCTGCAACAAGAATTAATGACAAGGTTCATTGACGCCAAGACAAAGGATTCAGGCTAAGATTCAGACGTCAGCGAGTATCTGCTTACTGTATCTTGAAGATTCAACTTCGTACAGTCTCTCGACATCAGTCGCTCGGGCCCTTTGGTTCGGGCCTTGGCGCATTCAACAATGACAGCTGCTATTCGCAAGAAGCCTATCACGAGAAACAGACAGTCGTTGACTTGTAGCTCATGCACACGGCGAAAATTGAAATGTGACAGGAAAGTGCCCTGCAGTAATTGCGAAAAGCAAGATGGAGCGGCCTCCTGCGAATACAGCCAGCTGTCGCGAAGAGAGCCACCTGGCATGCAGAACAATACAGCACGTGCCGAAGCAAGACTAGAACATCTTGAGGAGCTGGTTCACCAGTTGGTGGCGCGCAACAACAACGATGCTGAGTCTACCTCAGCTGCGCCGGAGATGACTGTGGAGCAGTTTGACTCCGAGAGTGCAACGCTCTACACAGGTCCCACACATCATGCTGCGATGCTCGAAGATATTGCGGAGCTCCGCAATGTTTTGGGAGAGTCGACACCAGTCCTGGATGTCGATGACTCTGTTACTTCGGGCAGCGAAATGAATGTGCTCTTTGGCAGAGTGCGACCACTGTCTCTCGACCAGATATTGAGCAAGTGGCTGCCAACAAAGACAGAGTGCGATAGGCGCGTTGCAGCTTACTTTCGCGCTCAGGGTATTGCGGCGCCATTTATCCACGTTCAGCAATTCCACAACCAGTACGAAAAGTTTTGGCAGAGTCGTGACAGTACCTCCCCACTGTGGATCTCTATCTTGTTTTCGATATGTTATCTCTCAGAGCGTATAGGACCATATGTGGCAGCGACTCCTCCAGGATTCAGCTACGCAGCAACACAATGTTTGGCTCTTGGACAATATAGTCGACCACAACGCTTTGCTGTCGAGGCCATTACTGCCTTCATTCAAGCCCGGATCACAGATAAGCTCGACGCATGTCGCGATTCAGGGATGCTCTTTGGTGTCCTGGTGCCACTAGCATACACTCTGGGTTATCATCGTGATCCAGCACACCTGAAGCACGTTTCGCCTTTCGAGGGCGAAATGAGGCGACGTACTTGGTCACTCATTGTACAGCTAGATTTGCTAAATTCTTTCCAGCTTGGGCTTCCTCACAATATCCAGGCTGGAACGTGGGATGTCAAGAGCCCTGGAAACTATCACGACACAGACCTCACTGAGGATATGTCAACATTGCCGCCTCCGAGGCCACCCTCAGAGATGACGAAGATGTTGTTTTACAATTCGAAACAGATTCTCGCATCTGTCTTCGCCAAGATTCTTCAAGCCGTACTTTGCACTTCCCAAGATGCCCAAGACTCGCTTCTTCTACAACGACAGCAAGAACTTGATGATGCGAATGCAACTATCCCGACCGCTTTGCACTATCATAATATTTCAGAGTCCATCGCAGATCCTGTCATGCTTTTCGTCACTAGACGTTGTCTACAGCTCATGTAAGTCGCATATATTGCTGGGCTGCAGCAAAAGCGAGATGGTAAAGATAAATCTGACATGTGCTTACTGGGTTGTAGGTACGACAAATGCCGTCTAGTGCTACACAGAAGACATATTGCTCGTGGACGAGAGGCAAGCATTCGAATCTGCTTTGATGCTGCGAAATCGATTGTCAACGGCCTCTTGACTATGTACCCGGAGTTCAAGCCTGGTGGGCAGTTGTTTGGTGATCGTTGGTTGATGAGTAGTATCGCCTTCAACGACTTTCTCACGGGCGCGATGGCCTTCAGTCTGATCCTGTGTCAAGATCAAAGGACCAAGATTGAGTGCTTATCATGGGATGAGCGATGCGAAATCAAACAGATGCTGGAGTCGTCACGAGAGATTTGCGAAGAGAACAAGGAACGAAGTGCGGGAGCTCGGCGATTGCTCAAGCTGCTTGGAAGTCTGCGTTCCCTGATGATTATGGAGGAGACGCAGCCGCCTCCTTTTGCTCCTCTGGCGGACACGTCCATGTCAGACAGCGAAGAGATGGCGATTGCACAGTCTGACTTCGCCGAGCTCTTCACCGAGACCCATATATTCGACGACCCGCAGTGGGCTCTGATGGAGGAGTTCTTGAATACGAGCTTTGAAATGTGAAACGGCCATTGCAGAAAGGTTTCGTACCCAACTTTCATATGCTCGGCATTTTCATGGTGTGGAGAAGGATGGACTGAAGTGACGGCACGTGATCGCGCGTTATGGAGTTTAGCACTAAATCCACTAGCGCGATTGTCGCCTGGCAGGCATGCCGCGAGCCACTTCATGCTTTCGATGTCGCCTTCTCCCAAGTCCTGATCCATGTGCCGGCGACGCCGCAGCCATGTGGGTGATATCGTGCAGCGATGCAAATTGGGAGGGTCGGAAAAAATGGCTGCGCCCAGGAACAAAGCACTCATTCGGACGATCATCCACGAAACCGGACGAAGTCGATTACGCCCATAACATCTCGCACAAGAGCGTGTCGCGGAAACACCTCATCCTGACGGTCGGCGACGTCTCCTCGAACGATACTACCAATCTCCACAGCAAGAGCAAAATCACGATTGTCGCACAGGGAAAAACAGGTACTTGGCTCGACGGAGAACGATTGCCTGCAGAAGACCAGTCGAGGACGCTCAGTGGTAATAAGCATACTCTGCAACTGGGCCAACAGGAGACTACACTTACGCTCGAATGGCGTCCTGTTGTACTTGCCTTCACGGCTGGTGTTCCAAAATCGGCGAAAGCGAAGGGCACAGCATTAGCAGCTGAGCGCCAGAAGCTGGATCGTTGCGACATCAAGTTAGCTACCGAGTACATTTCGAACACAACTACACACGCGATCGCAAAGAAACGCAATACATCTGCAGTTTTGCAGGCTTTGTTACAAGCGAAATGGGTTGTATCTGCTTCCTTCGTGGACGCTCTGGCAACAGCGTGCAAACAAGACGGAAGAGAGCAAAACGGATCGCCACGTCCCAGCCTTCTCGAGCAGGATTTCGATAAGAACTGGCCGAACGAGGAAGATCACATCTGTCCCAGTGCTGGCGAGCCCGTGACGCGCCCGGACAGTTGGCTGAAGCCTAACACTGCGCGCACTGAGCTTTTCCAGCACTGCAATTTTGTGTTCTTGGATTCCGATCAGCACGAGTCCTTAGCGCCAGTAGTGAATGCTGGTAATGGCAAAGCTCTCTGCTTTCACTTCACGCTCGGGCAAACAACGGTGGCAGAAGTTGTGAAGTATGTCAAAGATGTTTCTGGAAACAAGGAGCCAGGTCGTTTCGTGCTCAGTGATCGAACCGGACCCGGCGGGATCGTGATTGTTCGAGCAAGAGATACAGACACATTTAGTGATGTCCATCGCCAACTTGATGCTGCCCTCGGACAGATATCAATCGAACAAAACGAACTTCTTGATGCCATTCTGTCGGTAGACGCAACCATGCTGCGAAGGCCACTACCGGCGACTCGAGGCAGTGGTAAGGAAGCGGCCATCTCGAGCTCCATTCCAACTCCTCCAGGTACTGTGGGGGCTCCCTTAGCAACAATGTTGGCATCGAGCTCGATGCCACGCCCTCCTCAAGGCACTTCGGACAGTGTGGTTGCTGAAAGCCAGCAACCACCAACTTCCGCACGAGTACCGCCGCAGAGTCGAACCCGAGGCGAAGCACAGATACAGGAGCCATCAGAGGCGCCTCCCGCAAAACGGCGACGCCGTTTCGTGACCCAGAAATTTCAAGGCTTCGATGACTTCGAACCAAGTGCTGTCGCGCGTCCGGCGTCGAACTCGCCGCCGCCATCAGTCCCTCAGCAGAGCCAAAGTCAGACACCAGTAGTGCAGAGCAGGGTTGTCGAAGAAGAGTTCGCACGCCCTGCTGTGCCTGCAAGTCAACGCAAGGCACAAAAGAGACCAGCCCCGATCGAGGAGGAGGACGAAGTTGAGGAGACTGCCGAGGAGAAGTACGAGCGTCGCTTCCCAGGCCAAGCACGCTTGAAACGACAGAGGACAGAGGAAGCTGCAGCAGAAGCAGCAAAACAGGCCGCTAAAGCTGCATCTGCATCTACCGAACCAACGGCTCAAGCTGTGCCCGCTGCTACCGAGAAGGAAGATGTTAAGAAGGAAAAGGCGAAAGGCAGGGCCAAGCAGACCAAGCAGGACGCAGATATCAAAGCCAAGATCACGGCCAAACGAGAAGAAGAGGAAGAACAGCATCGGCGCGAAGAGGAGAGACTACTAGAAGGCCTTGCTCCAGGAGAAGAAATACCGGATCTGGGTAATGTTGAAAAGCACCCGGGCATCTGCGTGGAGTATGAGCTGCCGATCCGAGATCCTCGTCCTACGATCACGATCAGCGACAATCCGGACTGGGCTGGCCGACCCAACTACAAGAAGTTCAAGAAGCGACGGGCAGCGGTGCAGCACGACAACGGCGCGGGAACCCCAAACTCGGAAGCAGGTGTCATCATACCGCTGGAGGAGATCCAATCGCGTGGCAGCGGCCTGGGCGACGAATACTGGCTCGAGCACGGCGACCTGAACCCTCGACACTTGAAGGAAAAGAAAAGCAACGGCAAGTCTCAATCACAGTCAAGCGCGCGCAATTCGCAAGCAAATCGTCGTGTCACAGCACAAGGTATCTTCTCAGTCAGTCTCGGCGAGGGTAACGCCCGCGAAGAGGTCGATGATGAGGAACGCGCGGTATTTCGTCGCCGGCTCCAGACCAGTCGAGAACAAGATGAAGCTGAAGCGGAGGCTAATGCACTTTTCGACGGTCCGCGGTCGTCTAGAGGTACGACCGGGTCGACGAGCCAGTCGACTCTCGGCACTGAGACGCAGAAGAAGGCTGCGGGAAAGAGACCGGCTACGACTCAGTTGGGACCGGCTGCAACGAAGAAGGCGAAACAGAAAATTGCCATGACTGCTTTTACTAGTGGGAGAACCGAGTCTCCAGCGGTCGGAGCTGCGGATGACGACGATGATGACGATCCAAGAGCTTTCCGGCGAAGGAGGCGGTGAATTGTGACACGATAGGGGCCGGATATGCGCAGTGTCTCCATGTCGGCATCCTTTGATGAGGGCCAACATGTCTTCACAGTTTGTGGAGCAAAGCGAGGTAGCTAGTATCGATACTACTCTGTCAGTCAGCGCACTTTCGTGTTCCCCACTGTGGTAGAAGAGCAGCTCATGATAACATGCATGACGTTCAACTTAGTATTGACACTGCATTCAGCTATTTCATTACAGTGTAGGTGCATACTTGAGAGCTATTTTTACAAAGCTGGTAGGCCAGCGAATGCACTATGATAGGAGCGCTTTTCTGTCCCTCATCATCGACTTGTTCGTCTTGACTTCTGCAGTATAAGTGAAGCAAGAAGTCCATGGTCTGTAGGATACAGCAGTCGCAAAGAAAGCAATTTCAGAAGGGTGTTAGCGGTCCGAGCACGATGGGAACATTTGACGCTGGATTGAAGAGGGCGTCCGTCTTTCAGGAGAAGCTGAAACGCGTCACTCTGTCGTCAGGCTGGTACGGTAGCTTATTCTTCTCCAACAGACGCCATCAGCCCACCCGTGGAGGGCGGCTGGGCACTGCCAGCACGAGGCTGCGGAGTCTTGATGCGACCTCCCATACCAGGAAGCTTGCGAGGAACAGAGCCTGCACGTGAGCTTGTGCGCGATGGAGGGGCGAGAAGTCTAGCAGCGGATCCAGCACGGCCACTGCGAGAGACAGGGCGGGAGGATGCGAGAGGAGTTGGGAGCGAATCATCTTCCTCAAGGGGCGGGTCCGAGTCGGTGTTTGGCATGGTGCCGTTGATGTCCTCACCTAGGTAATTGACTGGCGGGCTTGAGATGCCGTTCTGTTCTTTATGTATTGTCAGCGATGTTGGTTCCCGCGTCTGCATTGAGGGTAGACTTACCAAGATCCTCGTCTTCGTCCTCGAAACCTTCGATCAAACTGTTGATGTACTCCCACTCATCTTCAGATACCTTGGACACGCTCAGACGCGCAGCAGTGAATTCTTGCATCTTGGCGAGCGGACCTTCGTCCTTTGCTGCTACCAGCTGGACACGAGTGACAGGCTTGGAGAGTTTCTTGCGGAACTCCACGTGCACAACGCACCACTTGTCGCGCTTCTTCGCGTCGGCTACGTAACCATACGAGTCCGGATCAGATGCAGTTGCATCGAGCTCGTGCTCTCGTACGATCTCCATGATGCCGACGATACCGGGTGCCTTGCCGCCACTAGCGTAGAAGAAAGCCAGATCGCCCTGCTGCATTTCCCGCATGTTCTTAGCAGCGCTTGGGTTTCTGACTCCATCCCATGGCTCGGGTGAGGTCTTCGAGCGTAGGTCATCGATGGTGAACTTGGTATTGAAGACCTTGCCGCTCGCCAAAACCTCATCGTGACCGTCTTGTTCAGCTTTCATGAGCCAGTACTGCCTGCCGGAGGATGGCGGAGCCGTCTTAGCGTCAAACTGATTCTCTTCCTTCGCGACCTGCTTCCCCTTGGCTTTTGGTGGACGGCCGCGTCCGCGCCTTGGAGGTGCTTGGACAGTCTCCTCTAGTTCGTCCTCCAGCTGATCCGCCGCAGCTCCATCATCGGTGTCGATCTTGGTAGTTTCTCCACCGCAAGGCGCTTGACCACGCTTCCTAGGAGTCGGTTGCTCTTCCTCGGGCGGTACCGCTGGCTCACTCACTCGCGCCGGTCGACCTCGCTTCTTGGGAGGCTCCTCGCTGGTCACCGCCTTTGCTGGACGTCCGCGCTTCTTGCTTGTACCGGCAGATTTGGGGGTAGGAGCCAATGCAGGTGCAGACGTCGTCTTCTTAGCAGAGACAGCTTTCGGCGGACGGCCAGGACCGCGCTTGGCAGGCGCTGAAGCCGTAGTCTCTTTTGCCGGGCGACCGCGTTTCTTGGGCGGCTCAGCTGAAGTCGTAGTCTCCTTTGCCGGACGACCGCGTTTCTTGGGCGGCTCAGCTGAAGCTCTAGTGGCAGGAGCGCCGCGCTTGCGTCCAGCAACAGTGGCTGAAACGGGTCAGCATTTGTCTTGCACAAGAGATACTACACTTACGAGGCGCAACAGTCTTATTGCTGGCGCGCTCTGGCGCAGTATCTGGAAAGCTCAGATCTGGCGGAGCAACAGCGCGCGTTGGTCGGCTCGCAGCAGCTGTGGTTGCATACTCCTTTCCGCGTTTTGAAGTCACGGTGTTGGCGCGAGTGCTGGCCCTTGCGGTGCTTGATTTGTTCGCCTTCTTCTTGGGCGGCATGATGCCGTTCTGATATCTGTGCGATATCGCTTGCAACGGGTAGTTGTTCTTGTGTCGGTGATGGATGTTGGCACGCGACAGAAGTTGACGCGGTCGACGCGAAGTTGGCAATTGATGTCAGGAAGGTTGAAGATGCCTGTCGTCCTCGAAAGCTTGACTGCCTCAGGCAACCCTCAGGTGCTCAGATCAACTCGCTTGCTTCAGCCACAGTACGGTACGCAAAACCAACGGCACGTTCTGTTCTGCGTTGACCGTTACTACTCCGTCCACCTGCGAACGAGTCGTTGAATGTCCGTCTGCATCGTCGACATCCACAACGCCTTCTGCAGCGAACTGTCACTCAGGCACCGGCTCTTCTGCCAGGATGACGGTCATCGCGGATGGAGTCAGCACACCTGCATGTCTCGAGCTGCACCACGGCTTCGCGTTTGGTTGCATCCGTCATGTACCAGGAGCAGAGTGAGGACCGTCCCATCAGGCATTTCTCTTTCACTCTTTCAGCGATGATTTCGCATGGTCCATGTCGTTGTGGTCAATATCGCACAGCAGACCGGGGTGGTGAGACAAGGACTAGTTAGGGTGGGGGCAGTGCAGCTGTGAGCCCCCAGCGACGTGCGCGGCCTTCATCACGCCCATACGAGCAGACTTTGGGTACGCATTGCGGCTCTCCTGGACGAAGCTTTCAACGGTCAAGCCTCCTGCGTGCTACTCTTAGCCGTCACCGGCGCCCGTCCATGCCACTTGACGGCTCACGGCGAAAACACGATCTGCGATTACGCGCAACAACCAGCCACTTGCCAGTTTGTGTGGGTACCGGATTCGCCGAGAACGAGGATGAGCACCTGCTCTGCACACATCATGGCTACTTAGGCAACCACTTCCCATCACCTCGCAGCAGCACTGTACGCAGGAGCAGTGCTGCAGCAAGCTTCTGCTGCTGTTGACGAGGGCAATGACGGCGGTTGAAATCCTCACTCTCCATCCTGTGGGCTCCATCATGGAGCCCTACGACGATGTTCCTAAGATTTCGCGCCAAGAATATCTGAATAGCCTAGTTCCACCAACGTCGGCGGAAAGAGCCCGAATCAATGCGATCCAACTAAGGAAAGAAGACCTGATTGATCGCAAATATCGTCAGCATACTGCCGAAGAACGAGATGCTGCAAGACTTATCCAGCGAGCGTACAGAGGCCATCGCGACCGCCGTTCCCTCCAAGGACTTACACTAGACCCCAGCTCGAGATGGGTGGAACTCATCAAAGAGTGGCGCTATCGTAGTGCGACTGCGCCACATCACCGGAGCCCAGAAACGTCAGACTCGCCTTGTTCCCTAAGCAGGAACCCATCGGAAAGGGCAATGGTCAATTGGCGTCGTGTTGGCACCATCGCAGACCATGCTGGCGCTGGAGAAATCGCTTCTCCCGAGCATGTCACATCGCATGCGCGCACGTTCAGCTCGAGACGCAGTCTCAGAAGGAAACGTTCTAGGTCAGAATCGCAGGAGCCAAGCTCGATGCTGCTCGACTTGAGATACTTCCTTGAGATGGTGGACCAGAAGCATCGCTACGGAGCAAATTTGCAAGTCTACCACGAAGAGTGGCAGCGTCGTACAACAAACGAGAACTTCTTCTACTGGCTGGATCATGGAGAAGGTAAATCACTTGATCTGAAAATGTGTTCCCGCGAAAAGTTGGAGAAGGAGAAAATCCGCTATTTGAGCAAGGAAGAACGAAAGCAATACCTTGTTCGCGTTGATGATTGCGGGCTATTGAGATGGCACAAGAACAATGAACTCATCACTACTTCCTGCGATCAATATCAAGACAGCATGCTCGGGATCGTACTCAAGGGCACAGATGCGCCCGCCTTCGATGATGAGGAGGTCAAACGCCAGCTTTCTGCAGATGCGTCGCTGTCCAGTAAGCTTGCGGCAGTGGGCGGAGTATTCAAAGATGCAATTAAGGCTGGTGCAGAGTCCAAGTATGAGGACGATTCAAGCTCATCGGCGTCCAGCTCTGCAAGTGAGACATCCGAAGCGGTCGACAATCCACATGCTCAATTGGAAACACCATGCGATCAAACACGAAAAGAGGGACGACATAAGAGAGGCAAATTTCGTGTCAGTCCAGCGGCAGTTCTGAACCATCTACTCAGAGCCTCTGTCCGACCAGGAACTTGGATCTACGTGGCCGACACTGTAGGTCGCCTCTACGTCGGCATCAAATCCTCAGGTGCCTTTCAGCACGCCAGTTTCCTGAGCGGTGCACGTATTTCAAGTGCAGGCACTATCGGCATCGAAAACGGCAAGCTCACATTTCTATCTCCTTTGTCTGGACATTATAGGCCTACGACACAATCTTTCCGCCGCTTCATCGCCAATTTAAAAGATCAAGGCACCGACACTAGCGATCTCAAGGTCTCAAAAGCGTATAGTGTCCTGCTTGGCAGTAAGTTTGATCTTGGAAACACGTAATATATCAGTCCCATACGCTAACCTTCTCTCCTTCCTTGCAGTGGAGCTATACGGCACGTCAAAGAAAGTCACAAAGCATATCCTACATCCAGACAGAGCCGCAAAGAAGTCTTCGTCTAACGATACTCGACGGAACGAGTTACTGCATCCACTGACTCTCCCGGACCCGAGCAACACGGTCGCCACTGTCGCGGCGGAGGAAGCCTGGCGTAGACATGCTCTAAGCAATGATAAACGAGGCCTTGCAAAACTCATGGACGACCTGAACATTCATCGAGGACGGAGGCGAAGTGAAGCCAGAAGGAAAAGCGAGGCCTCAAGGCTCGATGCAGCGAGGGAGCGATGACCGGAGATTCTCTTTGCGTTGCTGTAATTTAGCGTGGAGTTGGTGGTCTGGGAATCATATGTCTTCTCCTGTCGGGAAAATGGCTGCGTGCGTTATCTTCTGATAAGCTGCATCACTGCCGGGTGAAGATCAGCCGCGAGGCACGGAGTGGCGCTTTGTGTAGAAATGCGCAAGTACGAGAGATATTACATTCTCGACCAAGGCCGAATTGCATAAGTCATAATTCATCAGCTAAGCCATCCGCCCGCAGCTACAAGCTCACTTCCTCGGACCTCCTTTGGCGCCCCTAACGATAAGTTTCTCCCGCATAAGCCGTAGTCCTTCATCCCACTTCTCGTAGCCGTCGATACTCTGCTTGAGGTATTGAGTCATATTATGCTCGTTGTATTGCTCCCCATACACCACCACCACCTTGGGAGCAACATCAACCGTCAAGCCGAGAGTACCGTCGCCATCGATTTCTTCTACTTTCGCTTCCAGTTCAAACGAGGTACGGACCTTGCTTCGAACCTTTGGCAGCAGGATCTCGGCGTTGATGTCCAGACGCTCGTCACCTACTATGCTCGAGGAGGTTAGAGTCTCAATGGACAGCTGTCGCTCCGATTCTTGAATCTGTAGAGCGATGTCCCAGCCGCTGCTTAGTAGGTCCAGGAGGGTCTTGATCTTTGTCGTGGCTTGTGGAAGGGCTTGTAGACTTGCTCGTAGGAGCTGAAGGAAGAATCGCAGGGTTGTTGTGAGTGGCTTCTTCTTCTGCAAGCTGCGATCGGCTATGTAGGTCAGGCTGATAGGCGCATTGGGGGTCCTGCTTTCGGCATCTCCAGAGCCATGATTGAATGCTGCGGGGTGGAAGAAGAGCTCAATGTCGGATTTGTAGGCCATGGTCAACGTTGACGGGTTCGATGATGCGGAAGTTATGGACCAGCGGTGTGTTGTTTCCAGGTTGCGGACAGAGGCTGCAATATGTCAGTTGGGCTTTGAGCCAGCGACGATGAATATGCTTACCTTTCAGAGCAGAAATCTCGTCAACGGAAACGCCTCTACACGCCTCACGAACTCGATTCGCTTCTTGGATAGCCGCTGTGAACTCGACTTTGCTCTCCCGAAGATGGTCGATCGCGCTGTCCTGTTCTTCCACCTGCTTGCGCAGGTCTTCGATACGCCGCCGCTTCTCGCTCAAGTCAAGGTTGACGACTGTCAACGAGTCGCGCGCTTCTTTGAGAGATTCCTTGTCCTCTTCGGGGATGGCGTTGGCTGTCCTTTGAAGTTGCTCAGCTTCTAGTTCCAATGTGTCGTGCTTCGTCAACAGCGGAAATAAGACTTGTTCGAGCACTTTTTCGGAGCTCCCTAGGATATCGTCGTCACGAATAAGTCCGTCGCCGATCTTTGACAAGCCGCCCACGAGTTCGTCCAGAAGTTGGCTGCGCCAAGAATACCACATCTCTTTGCTTCTCAAACGTGCGAAGGTCTTCATGTCGCGCATCTGCGCATCCAACACCAGCTTCCTCTCGGCCGTAGCATTGGCATAAGCTCGTATCAACGGTGGCTGATCCTGCAGTGTTTGTTCCTCAAGCTCAGCGATGATCTGCTTGCCCTCCTTTGTAAAGCGTTTGAGCTCGTGGCATGCGTGCTGATACATCTCGAGCTCGGGAATGGTGCAGGCAGCAGCGACGACGCCATCCTCGAGACCGACTGTGTCGCTTTCACTCTCAATTAGGCTCTTGGTCTTCGAGGGAGGTGCAACAGTCAGTCTTCGCTTGGTAGTCGTCAAGTCCATGAATCGTATTCCTGCCTTGGTCAAAAAGTCCTGTAGGCCAATTTGTTCTTGTTCTTGCCCGTTGGCTTGTATACGCTCCAGATCGGCGTGCAAGTGCCGTACCGGAGACGGCAGTATTGTTACATGCCCCTTTGGCGTCGGTCTGCCACGGGGAGTGTTAGGCTTCACAGGTGACAATTGTGCCCCAGGTGTCTTTCTCGGCGTGGTGTGCTTTAAAGTCTCCTTTCTCGGCGTTGTCATGAGCTTCAGCGTATCGTGAAGACTGCGAGTATCGTCTTGCGACGCACTCTGCTTCTCCGGCGTGATTGCTGTCAATTTTGATGGTGAGTGCTTTCGAGCCGTGGGAGATGGTGCTGTCCGTTGTGAGGCCCCATTGATCTCCCGCTGCCCGCTGCCTCCAATATTGCGACTCTGTCGTCGTGAAGGACTCATTGTTGGAGTAAGCGCGGGAGATGCATGCTTGCTTGCGGATGGCAACTCTGGATACGAAACTTCATCCTGCATTGACGAGCTGATGGCCGGTCCATTTGGTTCCATCGCGGGCTCAGGTTGCGATGCATTGGTCTTGGGATGTGAAGGCGACTGAGACAATCTCATCGGAGAAAGTGCCTTTCGAGGGGGCGTGGGTGCGACCGTTGACTTCGCCGACTCCAGCAGAGGCGCCAAAAGCTGTTTTGTGCCCACGTTCGGCGAATGTTTGGAACGCTCATGGTTTTCTGGCGTAGTGCTCCTAGATTTCGAAGCTGGCGATTTGGCAAGCTGTGGCGTGCCCGACCGGGAGCCGTGCCTCGATGTAGGCCTCGAATGGTCTCTGATGCCACCGATCACAGTGGTCAACTCCATAGATAGCTCTTCGTCCCGAGCGAAGCTTTGATCGTCGACATCATTGTGCGCAGACTTAATTCCACCCACAGCACGAGTGATGTCCATGGTGGCTTCCGACGCGTCAGAAACCATCCCAGACGACCGCCTTGATCGCAGACTCCGCCGACGGTCTGGCATCGCAGTGCTCTGAATTCCGCCCACTGCCATGGTCAAGTCCATAGTCTCATCGTCGACAACCGTTCTCGCAGCAGACGACCGTCTTCGCTTCGCTGCTGCGGGGGCAATAATTGCTCCAGGTGAGCCATTCTCGCTGGTGGATCGTCTACGCTTCTGGCCTGTGATACGCCCGACAGCTTGGGTGAGGTCCATCATGCCATCGTTCTCGCTTCGAGGTGAGCTCTGCGGTTCAGCAGTCCGCGGTACTTTCATAATGCCGCCTACGGCACTGGTCACGTCCATGCTCATGTCTTGCGTTCCATCGTCATCTGCAGCATTCTGTCGTGCAGCCACAACTGCCTCAAAGACTGGCGAGAATGGATTCACATTTTCCTGGTCCATGGTGGCGGATCCGATTCTCTCCAAAGCATTCTGCGCTGCCCACGGTTGCATTGCGTTCGTAATCTCATCCTCTGCTACTTCCATGGACATGTCTCCGAATTCATCGTACTCGATACCACGAGTGCCGGCAGTTTGTGCCGCCGCTCGTAGAGAAGCCTCCAGGCGTTCGCTGGAAGTAGTGCTGTTATCGCTCTCCGCTGTAGACTGTACTGTTGCATCGTCCACATCCAGGCTCATTGCAGTGCCCTCATCGTCATCCGACTGCTCCTCGTTGCCAAGTTCGCTTCCAGAATCTTCGCTGCCGCTCATACCGCTCGAGTAGATGTCTTCAGGATTGTTGAAATTCATTGGTGGAATACCTGAGCTTCGTCTGGATTTCCTTGAATCCGCTTCGTCCTCCGCGTCCAGTAGTTGCCGGTCTTCCTCGTCCTGGGCTGCATCTCCCGAGCTGAACTGCGAAGCGCGTCGCGTGCTACCATCCGAGTCTGTGGAGGTCGTGTGCTCGTGGTGATCCATCACAATGTCCCAGGTATGCAATGTGGCCTCCGGCGCAAAAGAGACGCGCCTGTTGGCCATGGATTTGCGACGCGCCGCTCGCGCTGACTCTTCATCTTTCGAAAGTATGCTCTTCGTTGCTGGCACAAATGCCGATTTCCTGCGATCCTTTGCGCTGAGTTTCGGCGACTCTGCTTCATCCAACGCGCCTGGCCCAATGCTCTTGCTTCGTCCTTTTCTGCTGGCTTTCTTGGGTGATGATGAGGCGGTTTTGAGGCGCTGCAGAGGGTCGCTGCTGGTCGCCGGTGCGACATTCTCCTTGTCGTCCATTTTTATGGTGGTGATGCTGCATGCGCGCCCGCGCCGAGGTGCTGTGCGTTAGAAAAGTGCTGGTCTGAAGTGTAGAGCCTCTCGTTGCTGGCGCTGCTCTGTTTACACAACAACACGCTAAAGTTACTCGGCACGGCTCATCCCGCCAATCATGTAAGCGCCAAGATTTTGTCTGCACACTCTCCAAATCTCGAGCTTCGGAGGTTGTTTCGAACGCCAACGACATTCTCTGCCACCCTTTCACTAACCCACCAGCAACACAGCAAGAAAAATGGCAGACCGTGGTGGAGCAGCTCCTGGTGGCGCCCGTGGCGGCTTCGGCTCGCGCGGCGATCGTGGTGGTGACCGCGGTGGACGTGGCCGTGGCCGTGGCAGAGGT